TTTTTGTCTCAAAAAAGTTATTAATATGCTTTTTGCTAATATGACAAATAAATTAAAAAAAGTTTTTGTTTGGTTTAAATAAAGTAGGTTGTCTCTAAATATAGAAAACAGAAACTGCCTCATATCATGCCAGACATTTTAATTGATAATATAAAAGTAAAAAGAGAAAAAAGTTACTAAGTTTCTCATATTGATGAAAATCTATCTTGGAGAAATCATACGGTTAACATGTTAACCGTAATAATATAACTGTGTTAACTGGTGTTTACGTAATATATTTCTTGCTTTATAGAGAATTCCGATCCATTTAGTAATTTTATTGGAGGTGTTAACACCTCCAATAAAATTACTAAATGGATCGGAATTCTCTATAAAGCAAGAAATATATTACGTAAACACCAGTTAACACAGTTATATTATTCATTTATACATTGTCATATAAACTACGCGAATATTATATGGGGAAGCACTCATAGAAAAAAGCTAAATGCCCTTTACTTTTATCAGAAACACGCAGCTCGCGCAATAAATTTTAAAAATCTTTTTTTTCATACGAAACAACTTTTTAAAGAAATTAGTATTTTAAATGTATATCAACTAATATTTTATGTTTCATGTTTAAACTAAAGAAAATTTGTATCACAAAATCTTTATTGTATGAAACCTAAAAACAAATATAATCTTTGAATTAATAACAATCTTATTGCCCCTTTTGTCATAAAAGTAAAGAATTTTTGTTTCTTATCGAGGTCCTTATCTCTGGAACAAAATATTCTTACCAAATTTTGATTTTTCTAATCAACTGACTTTTACTTCATTCAAACAAAAACTTAAAAAAATATACTTTTTTAATTGAAAATATCTTGATTTATTTTTAATTGTTTCTATTTTGTATATTATTTGGTTTAACATTTTATTTTGGTTTTTAAATGCTCTTTGCATAAAAGTTATTATTTTTCCACTACAGACATTGTATTTTTATTAAAAATTAACCATATATTGAAAGGGCTTCATAATAAGATCCTCATGATCTTCTAGAGGTCCTCTCGTTACCGATGTAAAAAGTGTAAAATATATTTGGTTATTGTAATATTTTTAAACGGCAAAATATCTAAAAAAAAAAAATTATTTCATCTAAAAATGCTTTTTAAATGGCTAAAAAAAATGTTTAAAAGGGCGCTTTTTTCAAAAAAATTATTACTTTTTTTAATTCGGTTTTTTTAAATTTAAACTAATCTTCGACAATATCTGCCCCGTCATTGTCTATGATTTTTTGCTAACGCTTAAGTTATTGCCGTTGGTGGAACTCTTTAGATTTTAAACCTGGTTGGCTTATTTTAAAACAAAAGATTTTTGCATAGCACTTTCTAAATAAGATTGTTTTTATTTTATAAATTTATTCTAAAAAATTAACAGAGGTCAGAATTGTCTGAAAATGCAATTTGACTCAAAATTGCCTTTTTTAAATAACACACTCGGTTTCAATTCCAAAACATTTTTAAAATCTCTGAGAAGGTATGCACAACATTATTCCTCTGCAGGTCTCTGAATTAATAAATGTTATTATATCAAAAGAACTACGAATAGTATCACGATTATATTCCTAATTTTTAATTCTTAAATACTCAAAATGTTGTGTTTATTTGACAACATTTGAGTTTTTTTGCAAGATAAAGTTTATAGCATGATTATTCAGGTTTTCAAGAGAAATTGTCAGCAAATTATTCTGTTATGAATGCCAGAGTGGTTTCAAAAATCACTAATTCTTAAACAAACTTGTTTGTAAAATTTCAATTTCTACCCTCTGCTTTACAGGTTTTCAAGAGAAATTGTCAGCAAATTATTCTGTTATGAATGCCAGAGTGGTTTCAAAAATCACTAATTCTTAAACAAATTTGTTTGTAAAATTTCAATTTCTGTCCTCTGCTTTACTCTGTCCGAGTCAAAATCACTTCAAAAGTATTGATTTAGAACCTTTTTACATTTGTGGTAAAAAAAAACTTTACCCCTTTCACCCCTTTCCCCCTTTTGGTTTTAAAACAACTTGTTCTACTGGCGCGCAAATGAACAAAAAATGCCACGCTTTTTTTCGCAGTAAAATTTTCTTGAAAAATGAAATAAAAATTAAATTCATGTAACTTTTGATTAAAATATCATACAACAAAATCTTGGTACTCGTTGGAAAGCTGGAGTTTTAGCTAAAAAATGATAAAGTTTAAAGTTTTAAAATAGTAAAAGTTCCAGTCAATGAAAATAGCATTTTAAGCGTACAGTGCCACCTGGGGTCTAAAATAAGTTTTAAATGTCAACTAATTCAAAAAATAATTCAAAATGTTATCTATCTCAATTTTTATTTTTGTGTAATATTTTTAGCAAAAGAACGTTGTTCATTCATTCATTCTTAGTGTATAGTTCATTCATTCATTCTTAGTGTATAGTTTAATAAATTCACGTTAAAATTTTAGTTCTTAAGTGTTAAACAATTTAAGATTACATATTACAATGTAATTTATATCTGAGAAAAAATTCCTTTCAGATGTCCTCTTTAAGTATGTTTTGCGTTGATTGTTTTAATTACTTTTTTAACAATTTCTTTTATTATTACTGACCTCGTGTTTGTTTTGCACGGACATTAAAAAAACAAACCGATAAGAAAGCAAGTTAAATAAAATGTTGTAAAAAATGGTGACGTTTTTCAAGTTATGAAAGAGAGCAATGTATCCTTTTCTGATAAAAAAGTCAATTAAAGTTATCCAAGAATACATCTTTTCTCTTCAAAGACCTTCAAATATGGGCAGAATTGATTTTCATTACGAGGAACTAAAGATCAACTCCTTTTTTTCTCACATATATGCATAATACAGAAACTGCAGTTACGGTTTTGAAAAATTCGTGGCCAAAAATGCTTCTTTTCTTTCCAACAATTTAGTTTGAAGATCTTCGCAACTCGCTATTGAAAGTGAAGGAAACTCTTCTTTATCAAAGCTGCTAGTCAAAAAGCAAATGTATGGAAGAAAAAATAAGACATTTAATGAACTAACTAGAATAAAAGGAAAACTTTAATGAAATAATTAGAGCACAGCAAAAATCAAGCGAAAAAAATCACCAGGAATTTGAATCTGATGCAATTACTAAGGCTGCTTCTCAACAAGACACAGCTTTGGCAAAAATGATTCAAAAGTCAACCAACCAGGATGAGGAAACTGCATAATATGTACTAGATGCAATTTCCACAGAAAAAAAAATTCTGAAGTTACACAAAAAAACCCAGATTTGGCTTTTTTATTGCTAAATGGTTAATCAAAAGAATAATATTGCGCCATGAAGAATGCATGATTTATTTGGTTAAACTACAACATTTGGTTAAAATGCCAAAATTAGCTATCGGCAAATGACATTTATCTTTTAAAACATGGGTACCAATGCAAAATCTCCTTGATAATACTGTAAAAATGTTTTTGGATAAAAATCTAGTTGTTACAATGCTGGCAGAGGACAGCAATAACATTAAACTCATTCTTTACCTCAAGTTTGGTTTTAATAACTGTAGATCATTTAACACTTTTCATCAAAAATATTCCAATGATGAGATTCCAAATGGTAGTACTATGGTGAGTCAACCTGTGCCATTACAAATCATTGATGCCAATTGTCTAGAAAGGATAGTGTACTCAACCCATCTCCAAATTCTGCAGTCATGTCGGCCATTGCGTATTGCATATGAAAAAGAGTCGAAAGAGGCCATTAACAATGAGTGTGTTAGGTTAGAACAAACAAAACTTATGCATTTTGTTAGACAGTCCAAGAGTGCAAGTCATCTACCATGGAATTTAACCAATGATTGATGGAAAGGTTCTCCAACAAATGACAGAATACCCAGCATCATTATTATGCTCCACAAGCTATAAGTCTTGTGGGAAGTCAAATGGATACTTTATATGTGTTTACATGTGTCAGGAACATTGGAGAATTAGTTTTGCATTTTGGTTTGCGAGTTTTTGACAGTCTTCGTCATATTGGCTACCGCCAAAATGTAAAAAAATGTTGCAAGAATTTGACACCTGCAGAAAAAGTGACCATTGTAACCACAAAAGGACGTGTGAAGGCTAGTTTACTGAATGTTTGGGAACCATTGTCGATAAAAAAAAAGAGATAGTGGTGCTGGAACTATTTTTACTAGCAATGTTGCCAAAATTTCATTTGACAACCCTGCATTAAAAGCATGTTTAGAATGACCCTGTTAAGCTTATTGAAAACATTTGGAGGGCACTGTCAATTGGATTTGCCATCAATTCAACTAAGTTTGCTAAGTTTTGCAAAAAAAACTAATAATGCTTGTTTTCATCAGGAGGATGGTTATGATTGGTATTTTTCCCCTTCAACACGTCAAAGTATTCAAACTTGGAAAAGATTTAATTGACAATCGCCCACTTCTGATTGTACTGAAGAGGCATCGGAACTTTCAATCGCATCATTTCAGGAAATCTTCATAGGCTCCTGGACATGTTCCATGGTTCTGATTACTTTTTTGAGATAATAAATATTTTGTGACAATGAAAAGTAAAGTAAGTTTGAAATATACAATATTTCTTTCCTAAGAAGTGTCTTAAATTTTGCGAGTTTTATGTGTTGGAGAAAGAAAATGATTAATTTGCATTTTTAAGCATTTTGATGCGCAATAAACAAATTTTGAATGGGCTTTAATTCTTCTGGTCGGCAGATTTAACACAACATTTTAATGCATCCAGAAAAAACGAAATCATTGAATAACAATGTTTAATTTTTTTGGATATTAAAATGCGTAATCGCGAGTAAAGTTACAGCAAATTTTTTTTTAAACATTTATTCTCTATTCAACTTAATACTCTATTATGATTTTTTTTTTCACCATTTATATTTACAAAAACATTTCCAAAGCTCGAGCACGGAAATAAACGAATTTTCCAATTAATTTTATTTGTAAAAATGCTTTATTAGCGAAAAGAAAAAAAAAACAAAAATGATAAAATAAGTTGTAATATCCACAATATAAAATCGATAATATAATAACAACTGTTGCCCATAAATAGATGTTTGCGTTTGATAGCAAGAAGAAACTTTGTTTTAAAACAGAAAATATACAATGAAATCAAGAAAATTCAACCCTCTATTAATTTATTTTTTCACTTTTTTAGCAGGTTTTGAAACAGGAGTTTCACTTTTACGTTTTTGGCTAGGTCCCTAGAAGAAAAAAAATATTATAAAAATAATTTTTGCATACAACAAAATAATAACTAGAAACCTCATACTCTAAAAACTATTTCCAATAAATTTGTAAACTTTACTTATTATGCAAACTATCATTTAAATTTGTAAGTTTGCATATTTATAATTCCTTATTACATGCAACATTTAATTGCTTGCAGCCACTTACAATATGTCAAAAAAGTTAAATCACTTTTCACCCCCCAATGATTTTTCAATAAAAGGCGATTTTTAAATATTTATATGAAAGTTTTTCACTTACTGTAATTTTTTCAAATCGAATATGTATTGAATAACATTTTTAAAACAAACAAGTCATAACTTTACTTTAAAATTTAAATTTAAAAAAAATTATTCGATGAATCAGAAATAACGAAAAACAAGAAAATCACCCCTTGAATATTAATGCTAAAATAACTTTTATTAAATCCATTAGCAACATCAAGGCGGACAAGTCAACTTGTCTTTCATTATGTCGCAATGAATTTACTTACTCCTTTTGCCATTGAAGGGCAGCTTATTTTTTTCATACCTTGATGAGAACTGCCTTTAATTCTAAAATGAGACAAACCAGATGGTTTTTGTTCACCTACTTTAATTTTAAAAAGATCCAAGTTTTTTTTTTTTGAATTTTGGTTGGTGACTGAAGAACTCTAATCTCCTAATATTCTAATTTGTTCTACAATCAATTTTTCATTAATTCCTGATTTTGACTTTTTTCGCCATTTTATTATCAAGAACTTATAAAAAAAAAAAAAAAAATACATACATACAACAGAAAAGTTAAAAAAGGATAGTTAACGATTTTGATTTCCAATTTTGAAAAGTTTGACGGAAACTTTTTAAATCTACTTTTTTTAATTATTTGTATTACTTTTTTATTCAGTATAAAATTATGAATTTCTTGAAATAAAAATGTTATTTAATATATGATCATTTAAAAAAAAAAAAAAGACAGAGTAAAGATGTTTTAACTCAAACATAAAAAAATTGCCTGTTATTGAAAAATCATTAGGAAGTGATTTTTGATATACTGCATAATATACATAAAAAACTATATAAGAAATTAAAGTACCCTTGGTAGTCCTGGTTTTGGTCCTTTCTTTTTTTCTCTCTTTTCTTTTTCTTCTATTTCTTGATTTTCCCGCTCAATAAGTGTTATCAGTGTATTACAGCGACGCTGTAGCTCCTGAAAAATAAAAAAAAAAAAGTGAAAAAATCATTACATGACATAAAAAAAAAAAAACCAATTAATGATTTCCCCGAGTTTCAAGATTGATTTATTTGCGTTCGATTATTCTTTTAATAGCAAAAATTTTCTAAGAGCAATACAATACAATAAAGAAAAACTTGTCTTGAGGTTGACTACAAGTCCAGTATATTAGTATGCCTTATATACTGCTAATGTAGTATAAAGTTGATGTAAAATCTATAAAAAAGTTAGATTGGTTTTTCAAAATTAAGCTTTTAAGTGGTTAGGAGAGAAATAAGAATCCCAAACTCTTAATGTATGTGCTAAAACACATGCCTACACCTATTTCAGTATGTTATCTTGGCCTGCAAAATTTTATTTCAATACGAATTTTTTTACGAATGTACCTTTCAGTTGTTACAATACCTACTTTACCATTGAACCATTGATCCAAGTACGATGTTTGGTGAAAGTGATTAGAATGGTACGTGGCATATACATCATGTTTTTTTGTTTGTAGTTGTTTCATAAAATCAAAATGTGAGTGGCAAACATTTTAACTCATTCCAAATAATTTTTTTAATTTTAGGGGCAATGCTAAACTGAATCATATATTTAAGTTTATCAGATTTTTGTTGATATGCTTTAGCAATTTCAGAATTCGGAAACATACGCTTATACTTAGCATTGTCACCATCAGCTGCAGAAAATGCACGGTTTGAATCAATTATATTTAAGCAACGAACAATTTCAGTCCTAACTACTTGGTCTTTGGTACTCAATATTATGCTTTTTGTAGGTAGCTTCAGATCTAAACCATCTGAATTAGTCACAAATTTAAACTGCAACTTAGCTGATTTTGCATTTTCATGTTTCTTTGACTTCAAATGTAGATTAATCTGGGTTACAGCAGCTGAAATGTTTATGTCTACAGAACAAAATCTACAGAAGCCTTGGTTAACAGACTTATTTGAAGCTTTTATCCATGGATAGCTCTTTTCCCAGGATAATTGTTATTTAGTCTTTCCCATACAGAAATATTTACTTCAAAAAAATTAATTATTTTAACTAAAAAATAAAAATAATAAATTACACTCCTAGCGGCCTAAAAGATTTATATCAGTATAACAGAGTCAAGAAATTCATTGTAAAGTTTAATCATTGCAGTTGAAACTTTTATATTGGAAAGGACTTTCCCATTAGAATTCTGTAAATTCTAAATGGGGAAGGAGAGGCTCCTTAACTTAACTCTGATTTAAAAATCTAAACCACCTAAACTATAAAAATTGCAGTATGAGTTTAGGATGGTAATCTTTATAGTTGTCACATAAAACCCCCTGATGAGCAAAACAGGTTAACAACATATCATAAAAAATTGCTCTTCACAATAATTTAACTCATGAAGCCAATCACACAAATGAAAACTTCATTTAAAAATAAACTTTCATAACTGTTACTATAATTTAACTATTCATGTTTAACATAACAAAATAAACAAAAGTTGTTCAAAAATTCAATTTATAATATTTACATGGTTTAATATTCTATTTAAAAAAAAAATAGATGTTAAAACTTTGTTAAGTAAATAGCTGATATTATACCTAAAACAAAATTAGTAAATTTTGTTTGAAAAATATTTTATCTTGATTGCCTCCTAAATCCATAAAATATATAATTGTATATATAAACATTGTCAGAGTTTAAAAAAAAAAACAGGCTATTGCCTTAAAAAGAGGAAAAAAAAACAGGAAAAGAGGCTCCCTTTAGGAAAAACAGGTTCCCTGTAGTAACCCTGAACTTGAAAATTTTTACCCTCCAGGTACAACAGCTGAAGATGTTATTTTTGCAGATGAAAACTTAATTAGCACAGTACCTTTACTTACAGATAAATAGTTAATAGAAGGAGTTAAAAATGCAGCAAATGAACATTATACTAATGATGAAGAATGATGATGATAATTCAAATAATCGAGTTTGCCCAAAAAATAGTGATATTCGAGAGGCACTGCAAGTGTATGGCTATATGCTCTTTAGTCTTACGGGTAAAGATTTTTAACAAAAGCTCAATGCAGTCTCAGTTATATTTGATAGAGACGTTTCTTCAAAACTAAGACAGAGTGACATTAGAACATTTTTTAAACTTATAATGTATTGTTTTTACCTTTGAGATAAAAACTTTTGATAACTCAAATTGTTTTTACTTATCAGTAAAATTTCGTGTAATAGGATGTCCTAATAACTCGAACATATGCTAACTCAAACTATTTTTTAGGTTATATGGAGGCTCTTGATACTGGGAGTTCACTGTATATATAAATGTATTTATATATATATACAAATATACAAATATATATATATATATATATATATATATTATATATATATATATATATATATATATACACACACAAAAGTGTTTTAAGCAACATGTTATTGTCGTTTTTAACGACAACATGTTTAAAACACTTTTATTGGAAAAGGTCTACAAAAAATGGTTGAAAAAAATATATACCTCAACTTGCATCTATCAAAAACTATTTGGATATCTGGGAAAAATAAAAGTTGAAAAAAATATTCTGAATATCCGGAAAAAGATACTCCCTGTGAATAAAATCATTACAAATGAATAAGAGTTAGTACATACATTTTATTTATCTGACAAGAAGTTTGTATGTTGAGCATATCTCAGTTAAAAGCCCTTCTTTTTTTTATTGCCGATTGTTTACAAAACTGCCTTAAACAAGCAATTGCAAAAAAATATCTTATGCCTTAAAACTTTTTCAATGTGTCGAAAAAAAAAAAGTATAGTATTCAATTCGAAAAGAGTTTGACTCTCCATGACTTCAAGTAATAAAATGTTTTAATTATTCCCTTGATCTTGTCTGAAAGATGTTTTTAAAAAAGCTGTAGCATGCAAAAATCTTTTGCTAAATTTACATTTCCTTTTGCTAAATTTACATTCTCTGAAACAATTTTTTAAATTTTATTCACTAACCCCCCCCCCCAAAACTTAATGGCCCACTTTAGAGGTTACTTTATTGTGGTCATAACTTTAAAAAACATTGACAAACAAAGCTGCTGCATGGTATAACAAGTTGAGCTCAATACTACCAAGGATGTGGTGGGGATCAAACTTAGAACATTTCAATTATGAACCAAGCACTCTATCACTACGGCATTCATTGAAACTTATATCAGAAGTTTGGAAAAAAACAGTCCCCAGCTCACAAAATTGTACACATCAGTTTGACCAATAATAGAATGCGATGATGCTCTTTAGACAAATATGGTGTTTATAGTCATTAAAACAAGCTGGATTAAATTGGTTTTTATGAGCCTGGAAAAAAAAATCGTGTAATCCATTTACTTGATTATTTAGATATTCTAGTGACATTTAGTATTTTCCTTCCAGCAAGATATACACAATTGCGCACTAAGAACAGCAGTTTAATTAGGCTATGGCAAAACCTCAAACTATCTTCAGTTATTCTGTAAACAAAATGTCTACAAAGAAATATATTTTAGCTAACTAAAAAAAAACTAATTATCAGTGTAATTGTAAATTGTAAACTTAGCAAGGGTTGAATTAAGCGATTATGAAATGAAAAATATCTGGTCTTCCAAATTTTAGTTTATGCAAAACTGTGTTTTTTGTTTTCAAAGAAAAAAGCAAATCAACGTAAATTTAATAGCAAAAAAGTTATAAAAAATAAAACAAACTTACGACTACAAAAGTAATAACACTCTAGTAACTAAATGCATAATAAAAGTAATAACACTATAATAGTGTTATTACTTTTATAACGTACTTTTAACTTTTATAATTCATTCTTTGTTCAAACAATGTAAGTAATCCCGAATTTTAATTGAAGTAGAAAAGCATCTAGAAAAATAGAATGAATATTCAAACAATATTAAGAAACTTGTTAAGAAACTTAAACAACTTTATAAATATGTACTGAATAAAAAGTTTAGCATTATGAAAAACATTACTAATGGTCTGTAAAAACGCGAGTTAACTTTAAAATCAACCAATAAAAACCTTTTATTGGTTGATTTTAAAATTCTCTTGCGTTTTAAAAATATCGCGCATTTTTACAGACTATTAGTAACGTTTTTCAAAATGCTAAACTTTTTGTAAAGAACGTTTTTTAAAGTGTATTTGTAAAAGTTGTTAAAATGTATTTGTAAAAGTTCCTGAAGTTTTTAATAATATTTAAATACCCGCTTTACTTTTTTTAGATGCTTTTTTACTTCTATTAAAATTTGGAATTATCAATTTTGTTTGAACAAAGAATGAACTTTAAAAGTTATAAATGCTTAATAAAAGTAATAACACTATAGTTTTATTATTTTTATAATGCAGTTAGTGACTAGAGTGTTATTCATTTTGTAGTCGTAAGTTTATTGTTTTGTATTTTATAACTTTTTCGCTAACAAACTTATAATAATTTGTTCCTCAAAAACTAAGTACACGACTTTGCATAAACTAAAACTTTAAAGACTAGATATTTTTCCAGAATTTTCATTTCGCGATCGCTTAATTCAACCCTTGCTTAGTTTAAAACATTGGATTAGAAAATTTTAAAATAACTAACATTTGATGCAACACATTTATATTGATTCTGTAACTTGTATAAATTTGTGTTTTAAAGATACAATGTTTTCTACTTTATTTTGTAATTTAATTATTCTGCTTGATGTATCTTTTTGGCTTGTAAACTTTGATAGTACTCTAATAGAACATTTAGAGATAAAGAAATAGTGGAAATAGAAATATATTTAAAGACCTTTTCAAAATTAAAGAATGTGATCCCAACAAAATAATTTTGATAGGTTTACTTTAAAAAGTTTTATACTCTTAATTTAGAGAAATTTGCTTGATAAAAATTATTTTAAAATTATTTTTTTTAAACTTCACTTCTGTTGTAAAAATTAATTGAACTCTTTTACAATGTCATATGAAAATAAAAAAACCGTTTTATGGAAACTCAAATCACATGAATGTGGAATGTTAAACATAAAAACTAAAAAACAAAAAATTCATGCACACCAAAAATTTTTTAAAGAAACTAAAAAACTTACAACAGCTGTCCTTGACTTTATAAACCAATCAAATCTGAACTGTGGTGCATTTCGTACAGCTTGACGTAACTCCTCGTATACATTCTCTTTTTCAAAACCTAATTTGTGTATCATGCAAACCTAAAAATATAACTAGATTTTCTTTATCTTGTTAAATTTTAAAATACTCCTTCTTTTTGTTTATAAATTTTATAGATGCTTTAACATCTGCATATATCGATATCAAAAAATTAAAATATAGATGACACAATATTCAGTTATCATTGTTAGTAGTTACCAAAAGTTTTGAAATAATATAGCTGAGTTAGCAGCAATAAATATTTAGAAAAAAAATTTACTAAAAATCTATCTTCTTCTTCTGTGTAATTTTTGCCTTTATTTGTTCCGTATTGTATTCTTAATTGATGAAAAGGTGATTTGTATCTTGCCATCTATAAATAAAGAGATGGATGCTTATTTAAAAAAAAGGAGTCATATTCATTGTTTAATAATTTAATTCTACTAAAATACCTTTGCTTCCATGGCTTCCTTAATACTAATTCTTCGTTGTATTTTAGCCTCCCCTCTTTCTATCTGTGACATGATTTTATCAATATCTGTCAGTTCATTACAACGTTCCCAAAAAACAGATGCATATTCTTTCACCTAATTATAAAAAAAACAAGTGTTTACAAAAAACTTAAAATGTTATTACCACAATTAGTTACAGGACTATTAGTAAAAAAAAAACAAAACCTCTTCAGGCGTTTTCCCTTCTACTTCTTTGCATATTTGATTAATATCATCTCGCCCATATTTTTCGCATGCTTTTATGAACTGATTAAAATCTCGTTTGTTCCAATTGACAAAACCCTAAAATATATTTTTTTAATATATACAAAAAATTAATACTTTATAAATCAGATTTTATTATTAGTTTTTTTTTTAAATTAAAAAATAGCAAAAAATAAAGCAAAAACTTTACAATAATAGTATAATTAGCAAAACTCAACAAAGCTTATTTACATATGAATAAATATAATTAATAATATAATTAGCAAAACTCAACAAAGCTTATTTACATATGAATAAATTTATATCTCTATAAAAGTTTTATATAACTTTATTCTTTTTTTCCAAGTAGCTCCCAATATTTTAATGGTTGCTTGCAGCCATGTTGGGAGTGAATCAGAATAATAATAACAATAAAAATAAAATTAAAAAACATTTTGTAAAAATTTAATGCATATAAAAAATTACAATATAATATAACTATAATGGATATACACACAAATTTCATTGCATACTTGATGTACCTAATGATGCCTCTGCAAAAATAAATTAAAAATTATTTTCATATTTAAAGTGACTATTTTTTAAGTTTGTTAATAAAAAAATTCAAAGACCAACAATTTTAAGACTGATTGAACTAATTGTTAGATTTCAGCTGTTAGGGATCAATAACTATCTCAATAGATTTTAGAAACTGGAACCACACTAACCATATTTCAGAAGACAGGAAAACAAGATTCAGTTAAGCATTTGTTGCAATATATATTCAGTTAAGCAATATTTCAGAGAGTAATGATGGTGATGAAAAAAACACTTGTAAATTTAATGCAAACATAAATGTTTACAGATGTTTTTTGGTATTCTTATGATGAAACTTTAGATAGAATTAAGGCTAATGAGATGTTTTTAATGTTTTATGACTTTTTTTTTATGATTTAGACATTCAATATGTGTAGAGTAATTTTGCAATTCATGCTCTGGCTAAAATAAAAAGTATACATTAATTCATTTTAAGGATTTACTAATTCATAAAAAAAAGGATTGTCTTCATTAAAGTTTACTTTAATACATATTTAAACAATTCAATCAAAAAATTTATAATAGAATTAAAATTACCTTTGCAAAATAAAATTCTACAAATAAAAGTACAAAAAATAAAAGCAGAAATAAATGTACAAAAGCTTTAACTATAATGATGTAAAGCTTTAACTATAATGATAATAATTAAAAGACTAAATTGTAGACTTAAGTATAGATTTTGAGGTTTATGATTATAACTATTTTTAAATTGTAATACACACACACACACACACACACACACACACACACACACACACACACACACACACACACACACACACACACACACACACAAACACACACACACACACTTATATACTATTTATAAATATAGTAAAGCATAAAAAAAGTAATTTTTACTTGTGTAAGAAGTTCGTCTTTTTCTATGCTTTCTTCTTCTGATAATGGCAAAGCATTATCAATTTTACTTTGCTCTTCTTTTTGTAAACGCTTTGCTTCATCATCAGGAAGATCATAGTCACGAAGAACTTTATAGCCTATAGATTTCCGATAGCTATAGATTTCCACATCAAGTAGTTCAAAGAGCCTCGGTGGAAAAAATTGAAAATCTTGAACATTAGGCTGTTTCGGAGGGCGTGGAGCTTTTGGAGCTTTTGGTTCATTTACACGCATTAGCTCTTTAAAATATGTATCAACAGCATAATTTGCTTTGCGCTCACGCTTTGGAGGCTCAATCCAATGACTCAAGGAACCAGGTTTATCATGTGTTTCACGAAAGTCTTGCCCTTCAAACTGGTATATACTTTCTGAAGTGTCCATTGTAAATTTCTGAAGTTGGTTTTCTCCCAACTCAAGCATTTTCTTAGCTATCTCGTCAGTCTAAAAAGGCAGATTAAAAAAAAAATTCAAATATATTATATAATTAAATTAAAAATTAAAAAATAAATAAAATATAATTAAAAAAAAAAGAAGCATAAAATGTACTTTTTTTTGACCACGCTCTAATATTGCATCAATATCTTCAGATGAAATTGTTGCATCTTTACCAGCAAATACTTTATCAGCGCCATGTCTAATCATATTCAAAATATCATCCTTTTGAATTTTTGCAGAGGCATCAACAAGTCTTCCTTGTTGAATAACCACTGCATCTAAACGCAATTTTATCTCAGCACGCTCTATAATTCTTTCTTCTATAGTATTCTCAGTAATAAACTTAAATACATGGACTTGCTTTGTTTGACCAATACGATGAGCTCTATCCTAAATTTTAATGAATTTATTCTGACATTCAAAATTAGTTACAATCTATCAAAAATATGACATATTTGAAATATATTTAAATTTCAACTTAAAATATAATCAATAATAATTGTATTATAAATTAATATTACTGTGTTCTAGAAATGAATAAACTTTTTTAAAAAATTCAAAATTAACAACTTATCAGAATTTAAAGGTTGCTTGTTGATTTATTTGTTTCAATAATTTTATTTATCCAGTGATTTAAATTGCTACATACTATTAACTTACTTTAAAACAAAACTTATAAACTATGTAAATTGAAAAAATCCTATACAGTATTTTGAGTATATTGGGAACTTAGGTGTTGTCAACTAGCAAATAAAAAAGAAAAAATTGAAAAAAAAAGGTCATCTTGTATTTAAAAAAAAAGCTTAAGGCCAGCTATGGCTCGTGCCCTTTGTTCCCTACTTAATTTATAGAAACAAATTAAGGATACACATTAAGAAAAAAAGTTGACATTTTTTTAGCAACATTAATATCTTTACAATGATTTTTTTTTTTTGGTGTTATTCTTAGCAGGAATAAAAGAAATTTTTATATTTTTTTAATGTCAAAGAAAATTAATCAACTTGTTTCATCTTGAGCAATTTTCTTAAGGTTTTTAATATTTATTTCGCATCTCTTCTTTGTGTGACATTGAAAAGAGAAAAAAAAAAGAGAAATTTGCAATTTCATTGAAATAGAATATTAGTTAAAAGAATATTTATTGAATAAATATAATTCTAATTAATTTTAGAATTAATTTAAATAAGCAATATAAGAATTTAAAGAACAGAGCAAGATTTGTTTACTGCAAGAGTGCAACAAATATTTTATAGCAGCAAATTTAAATGGCTAGTAAATTTTGTACTTGTATACTAAAAAAAAGAAAAAAATTTTTTAAATTTGTAAATTTTGTTATTGTAAATTAAACTTTTGCATTTGTATGTAAAAAAAATTTAATTATAAAAAATTATGTAAATTTAATTATTCTCTTTTATGTTTTACACAATTATAACCTAAATGATACATCTCATTGCAAGTTTCATTTTTGATTTTTTTGTTGTTATATTAAATTTTATTCTTCTTGCTATCGACATAGGTTACAACTTTTTGTTATTATGCTTAACTCTTTATATATATTCCATATTATATATATTTTTAGTAGATTTGAGTTAGTAATTTTGTTTTTGAGAAAAAGAGAAAAAAAAGGAACACATTGTAAAGGCAATATACAGTTAGTATTTTTATTTTTAATGATTATTTTCTACGATTATTTACTTCCAAATTTATATCTCTTAATACTTTATTTCTTAATTGTAATCTTAACTTAAATGTAATGGTTTTAAACACTGAACAGTCATGCCGAAGGCCGAAAGACTTTAAAAAAAAACAACAACTAAGGAATTATCAAAAGCAGCAGCATCACTTAATCAGATCAAAATTACTACTTTGTTGAAAAAAACAACTGAACCGGGGGAGCTAGAGAACCCTCATGGTGAACTACAGAATCAGGATAAAGTTGACATAGACAGTCAAAAAATAGACAATACAGAAAAACAGGAGTTCAATACAAAAGATGGTAAAATTCTGACAGAAAATCTTGTTAGAAAAGCAGAGGATTTTAGTAAAATTGATTAAAAGAAACAATGACAGAAATGAAGGAGCTTGTACTAAGGCTTGGTTTAATGAGCTTAGTTGGTTATTTTATGATCGATCACTGAAAGCTGTGTTTTGTGAAACCTGTACCAAATATGATTCATGTTCTGGTGGAGTGCTCAAGCATGGAGTCAGGAAAAGATTTAGAACATGGAGCAAATCTGCAGCAGCACTAAAAGATCACGAGGGTTCCAATACTCATAAGGCTGCAAGTACTCTTAAGATTTAAAGGCACAAAATGATTAAATGTACACGAAGCAAGCAGTTCGAAGAAAAGACTTGCTAGCTCATTTCGGAACATCGAAAAGATTGCTTCGACAGGCAGTGAAGAACCCAGACATGTTTTAGTACCGTTTTACTGGTATGGGCGCCCCAAAAAAAGTGCCTAAAAATTATATATATTTTTAATTTTTTTTTTTGATTTTTTACGAAAAATAGAAGAAAAAATTCAGTTTTAAATGCAGTAGTATATAAATAATTCTCAGTTTAATTTAGCTACCTCATTTTTTCTTCAGGAAAATAAAAAGAATTAAAAAGAAATTGCTTTTTTACATAACTAAGTGACGTAATTTGTCTTCGGTTATTAACTGGACACAACTTTTAAAAAAATGAAAACGTTTCAAAATTTAATAACAATGGTATGTATAAAAGATTTGCTTTTTTGAAAGTTAAAACACTTTTAAATATCCATTCAGCGTAAGGTTAATTTTTGTTTTTGGCAATTAAGAGTAAACTGCTTTTGATAATAAATGAACAAAAGTAAAAAAATATCAGTCCTTGTAACTATCGCACAAATTTTTAAATGAATGATCTTAAGCTTTGATCTTTGATCTTTGATTTGCTATTTTAATTTTCTTGAGGAAAACGAAAAAACGAAATATGAACTTTTTTAGACAGTTTATTTCCTTTCAATATTCTTTTTGAAATAATAAAAAAAAGGTTTCAAAAACTTAATAAAAGTTTTATTTAGATCTGTTTAAAATAATCCATAGTAAATGTAATTTATTTATTCAAATGTAATTTTTTAAATTATTCTTAACAATTTAAAAAATATATTTTTTTTAATATATGTTTTTAAAAATTTAATATGGTTTTTAATCAAAATAATTAAATATTTTTTAAATTATGTTTACTGTAGTTATCTCTTTAATTATCTTTAATTTAAAAGGCGCCTTAAAATCACTTTAAAAATTATAACCTTTAGTAAAAGTTAAATGAACAGATTTACTAATATTTAAATCAAAATTTTAAATTTAAAAAATAGAAAATAAGTTTACTAAATGCTTATGTTTTTATTTGAATAGTTTATTAAATATGTTTATTAAATGTTTATTAAATGCTTATGTTTTTAATTCAAACACAAGACAAAACAATTTTGTTAATTTTACAAATATTACACGATATAATATATGTAAATATATTATGTAATGTAAATATTGATTAAAAATTTTTTTAAATATTTTTATTATTTTAAATTAAATTTACTAAAATATAGTTGATAACTGTTTAAAATACTTTAAACAATTTTCAATAATTCTTTACTGATAGCGTGGTATATGCAACAAAAGCGTTTATTAAAATCTTAAGTAAAATAGTTTTCTTTTAACTTAAGTAACATCATCCATCAGTAAATTCATGTATTCAAAAAATGTCATTGAATCAACACCTTATTATAGGAAAAAACTGAACAAGATAAACATGAATGAATATTAAGAAAATGATGAATAAAAATTATTGTTGTGGCACCCGTTTAACTAGGGGAGAATGAGGGGGAGGGGGAAATCAAAAACATAATTTTCCCAACCCCTCAACCCCCTTAATGTTGCTGGAAAAAAAAACGGTATCCTCAAATAAACTCTGGGTTCTTTACTGACAGGGTGTAGCTAAAAGAGGTGATAATGATTAATAATCAAATATTTACTAGTTTAATTTGGATAAGAGTAAAAGTGACAAGGCATTAGAAGTATTGATAATAGAAAACCATTATGTTTTATCTCATGACATCTTGCAAGAGCAAGAAGAACTTCTCATCTTTAAAGCATGAAGGCAGATAGTGGAACTGATCAAAGATAAACCTTTCTATGCGGTACTTGCAGATGAATTGTCAGATATTACTAAGAAGGAACAAATATCATTTAATATAAGAACTTGCAGTAACAACTATGAAGTGAATGAAGATTTTATTGGACTATATGAATGCAGCAACAGTCTTTCTTCAGATGCCTTTGTGACATATATAGAAGATATTCTTTTGAATATACAAAAGTTGCCGAAATTTGCTTTGATGGAGCATCAGTTATGAAATGATTGGCAGGAAAACTGAAAAATATTTTTGGACAGCAAGCACAATTATTTCATTGCATGGCACATTACAGTGAGCTGATTGTTAAGGATACATATGCAATATCATCAATACTGCCAGATTCTCTCAGCATTGTCCAGCCAATGTATGCAATTGTTGGGGTATATCTAAAGCGTGTTGCCTTTTTCGAACAAATCCAAAAGGATATATTGCATGAGTCTGAATCAGATGAATACAGAATATTGCGACTGAACTTTATGTCAATGACTCAATGGACAACACAAACAAAAGCAGTACAAGTGGTGTTGGAAAAAATTGCGAACTCCATACAATATTGAACAGTCTTTAGAGTGACAAGACAACTGCTGCAGAAACAAGAGCACAAATTGAAGGTTAATTATCTCAGCTTTCATCAGTAAAAACACTTTTTGAACTGCAAAGCACTTTTAAATTTTTTGCTATTTTAGAGAATCTTTTGAGGCAGTTACAAGAAATTAACTAACAGGTGATTTCGCAGTATTCTACATTCGAAATGTGTCTCAGAGGTTTGCAGAACTTAAATCAAATAAGGAATTTAATAAAATTTTAAAGGCAAAGAAAAAACAACTTGAAATCAAGCAAGACATTGAGTATGAAACCGAAGTTACACTGAGACAAAGAGAAATATCCAAAACATTACAGGATTCAGTAATTACTGAGAAGCTTACATTGGGCAGTACAATGACTGGTCCTGTCAAACCAGAGCAAAACAAAGGAACTCTTATTTTGAACAATTGATGCTTTTCAGAACACTTTGAGAGAGAGATTTGAACAGGATGGATTAAGAGCTGTCAAAAGTCAAAAGTCGCCAATAAACAAACACACAAATTAATGAAGCTTCACTACACCGTGCCTCTATCAACATCATCATGTGAAAGCTTTAGTGTAATGAAAGAAAGTAAAAACATGGGTTAGGTCACAAAGTGGAGGCAATCACCTGAACAACATCATGTTTGCTCAGATATACAAAAAACAAATCGACAAAAGTAACATTAAAAAAATTGCCAAACAGTTTGAAATGAATGACAGTAGAATGAATTATTTTGGCAAATACACTTGAAATCGTTCTAGCACCTTGTAAGCTAAGAATGGCATAGGATGAAATGTACTATTGACATCTAGAAAGTAGCTAAGAAACAGTTGATTTATTTAGTAGACTGTTTAATAGCATGTTATAACTAGGGCTGTACCGGATTTAATTTTTCCAAATCCGGCCGGAGCCGGATTTGCCGGATTTTTACTAACAGACCCGGCCGGAATCGGAGCCGGAGCCGGATTTTGAAGCAAAACTACAGGAACCAAAATCCTGTATATCCCTACTTGGTGTTGAAAGTAGTCAACAATGTTGACTATTTAGATCACCAAGTGACAGTTCCCGACGGGCATTTCTTTTTAAAAGTTACGATCTAAATGTATTTTAAATGTCTTTTAAACGTCTTTTAAACATTAATGTTTAAAAGACGTTTAAAAGACATTTAAAACACATTCAGAACGTAACTTTTAAAAACAAATGCCCGTCGGGTTGTTTTCTATTAAACATCATTTTTGTTGTTTAAAAGTTTTATAGCAATTTCTATAGAAATTAATAGACATTTTATATAAATTTTATAGAGTTTCTATAGGCCATATGTTTCAAAAATTTAGAGAAATTCTACAGAACTTTTTTTCCCGGGATGTTGTCACTCCGCCACTGTAGTGAATCAGCGTGTCTATATATTTCTGATTCTTCCAGATATTGGCTTAGCTGAGTGTCAATGCCTGTTGGTAATTGTTGTTCATGTGCTGTGCTACAAGCGGGCGTAGACTCAATAATTTCATCTATATATATTGCCATTGTAATGATGATAATGTATAAGAATTATCCAGCCGGGATTGTTTTGCTGGATTTTCTTTATTTTTTTCAATCTAAAAAGGTTTCTCCTCAATGCCTTTGAAACGCTCATCTAATGAGTTGATTAGGATTGACTTCATAGTCTTTACACCTGCATTATTGCAGAATATCGTGTGTCTTCTCTTCAGAATTTTTTGTTGCGTTCTTGTTTGAAATTAGGTTTAGCTAATTAAATTATAAAAAAAAGTAAATACAGATACCAAAACAAACATGAAGTTCAAAAATTAAGTATTATGTATACATGTTATCACGGGTAAAAAAGATGTAATAAACATCCAGAAATCCAGCCAAAATTATGCCGGATTTGCTAACATTTTGCCGGAGCCGGATTTGGGCCGGATTTGTAAAAATGGCCGGATTTCGGCCGGAGCAGGAGCCGGAGCCGAAATTCGGTACAGCCCTAGTTATAACCTTCAGTGCTAATCAAGCCATCCCAGGAAAGGCGTGCAGGTTTTTTTTTAAAGCACTTATTACTTTTTAAGTTCATTCTTTGTTCAAACAACATTATTAATTCCGAACATTTATAAGAAAAGCATCTAGAAAAAATAAAGCGGATATTCAAATATTATTTATAATTTCAGGAACTTTCACATATTGCTTAGACAACGTTACTTTATAAAAAGTATAGCATTATGAAAAACGTTACGTAAAAATGCGCGTTAATTTTAAAATCAACCAATAAAAAATTTTTATTGGTTAATTTTAAAATTAACGCGCATTTTTACAGTCCATTATTAATGTTTTTCATAATGCTAAACTTTTAATACGATACATTTTCATAAAGTTGTTTGTCACGTTTTTATAAGTTACTTTAGCTTTAATATTATTTGAACATCCATTTTATTCTTCTAGATATTTTTCTACTTCAATTAAAATTTGGGAATACTAATGTTGCTTGAACAAAGAATGAATTTTAAAAGTTATAAGTGCGTTATAAAAGTAATAACACAATTATAGTGTTATTACTTTTGTAATGCAGTTAGTGACTAGAGTGTTGTTACTTTTGTAATCGTAAGTTAATTGTTTTATTTTTTCGCTAACAAATTTAAGTTGATTCTCCCCTTAAAAACAAGGAACACGGTTTTGTATGAACTAAAATTTTGATTACTAGATATTTTTCCAGATTTTGCGTTTTGCATTCGCTTAATTCAACCCTTGTTGTTACATTAAAATTATACAAATAAATTTTACAAACACATTGCTATTTGTACTTTTGCTATCCTCTTAAAAAAAATTAAGAAAAGGAAAATCATTCTTTTTATTGTAGACTTCAAACTGTTTTTTTTTTTGCTTTGCCTTATTTAATTTTGTTGCTGAATGTAATTCTAAAGAAACAAAAATAAAAACAGTACACAAATATTTAAATTATTAATTTTTTTTTTTTCCCTATTTCAATCTCTTTTTTATTTTGTTAGTTTTGTTTTTTTGTTTTTGAAACTTTTTCATCATTATTATAAAACTTGCAAACGGCCGTGTTCACGTTTTCTAAAATATTATAATCGTGTGTGGTCATACGAGACTAAAAACCCCACGCCTGGAAAGGCTTGGTGTTAATAGCACTGTACACGCGATTTGTAATAGATATGGCCCCTGCCCTTAGGCCTTTCCAGTGTGCATGATTATTTATCATTTATTAATATGCAAAGATTTTTGTAACTTTCCTATCTTAAGATAAACAGTAAAAACGTAAATAAAGAGTTTTAGCATAACACCATAAACTTTGAGCCTGATATAGTTTTTTTTTAACTATGATCTTTGAACTTTTAGGAATTTTAAATTGGGGATTCCGATTTATATGTGGTACCATCAGGCTGGCTAACACCCTGCTTATTGTATGTGTAGTCACACAATTTTTTGTAACACTTTTTATTAAATCAAAAAATTACTTTGTTTTTTCTAATATGATTAATAACAGGTATTATCATTTTTGAAAGTATTTTTACAAAAAACTAAAAGTATACCTGTGCTTGCAAGTCAACTTGGGGATTCCAATCGTTATCATACATAATCACAACATCAGCAGTTGCTAAATTAATACCAAGTCCACCTGCACGAGTACTAAGCATGAATAAAAACTTGTCACTACCAGGGGCATTAAATTCATTAATTTGAGCTGTTCTAAGCTCATGTGGTGTTTGTCCATCAAGACGACAGTATTGATATCCTCGCCACATTGCATAATCTTCTAATATATCCAACACACGTGTCATTTGGCTGAATATCAAAACTCGAGAGCCAGAGTCTTTTAATTTTTTTAATAACATATCCAACACTATCATTTTCCCACAGTTGTCAACCAAATGCTGATCAGTAGTATATGGTGGACCTAAAAACCAATTAAAATTTAAAAAACTTTGAATATTGTAAACACAAATGTAAGAAAAGTCAACAGCATAAAAAAAACCTGGTTCTGCCCCATCAAACAAATATGGGTGGTTGCAACATTTTCTAAGCTGCATTAAAATATTAAGAAGACGCATTCTATCTACTTTTCCTGCCCCATTGACAATATCAATATCTTTCATCAATAGCTTGGTGTACCATTGACGTTGCATAACACTTAGACCAACATATATTTTTGTTTCTTTTTTAGGAAGCAAAGTTTTTTCAACTTCACTCTTCAACCTTCTTAGAAGGAAAGGACGTAAAACCTAATAAATCAGACAAAAAAAATTTACATTGTAATATTATTAAATAGATTCATAAGAATAATATGCTTTTTGCTAACATTTTAACTCCAAATTAAATTTGAAATTACGGTTCTTAAAAATGTCATTAAAACTTTTAAAGTTTCTATGGCATTTTTTTATATGCTTTATAAAAAAGGAAAGTCAATTGTATATAGAAGCATTACTGCACTATTAAACATTTAGTTTTAATTTCTATTCGATACACTGTTAAATATTAGATGCATAATTTGAGGTGCAATTTAAAGTTGAAAATTAAAAGAGTTGTTAAAAGACATCATTTTTTTTTTTAGGAAAGCATTTCTTATTAGTATAAAATCATTTCAGTGTGGTACTAAAATTTTATACCAAATCTTTTGTTTTTAATAGTTTTTTAAATAAAAAAAATTTTTTTTGGTGCTTAATAATCGTCTTATCAAAACTTTGTTGGATATTCTTACTAATATTATTATAGTATATAAAAAAGTATAGAAAATAACATACTTCGTGTAAACGCTTCACTAACTGATCTTCTTCTGTGATGCTTTCAGCATTAAACCAAGAATCAAAGTCCTTAATAAATTATTTATTTGCTACAATTATAACTACCTTAACAATAAAGTTATTATCAGCAATTAAACATATATAGTTTTGTTTAAAAAAGTATAAAATACCTCAGCAGAATTAAATACATCAGGTAGTAAAAAATTAAGTAAAGCCCAAAGTTCATGTAAATTGTTTTGTAACGGAGTTCCTGTCAAAAGAAGCCTATTAGATGATTTAAATTCACGCACAATTTGTGAAAGCTAAAATAAAAAACAGTACAAATACTTAATATACATAAACAATCATAACTGTTTATATATACATACACAAAATTTATTTCTTTAATAGCTCAGTATTTATATAACTTTTACTTTTTATACAAAAAAAGATAAGTGACTAAAATAAACAATATATAAGCTAAGAAAAATAATACAACTTAATTACCAAAGATTTTTCATTTTTTATTCGATGAGCTTCATCTATAGCCAAAAATCTCCATGCAAATTTTTTAAGCACAGCTTTTTCTCGAATGCACATTTCATAAGAAGTGATTAGAACATCCCATTCACCAGGAAGCAAAGTTTCTCTAATAAAAGCTGCCTAAAAGCAAACAAACAATGAAAAATACATTTTCAATAAACATATTACAAGCAATTAAAAAAATATTTTAATAAACAAATTATAAATCTTGAAAAAAAATATATAAATTGGAAAAATAATAAGTATAAGAAGAAACAATCAGAGCCTGAAGTTTTAAAATCATTCACATCTAGGATTATAAGAAAAAATAATGAAAGTCTATTAGAATTTGCAAATTGCAAATAAACAAAAAATGCTCCTTTTTTTTCAAACTTATATAATAAGTCTCATAGAATGTTCTTTGAAAAAAACATTACCCACTCTTTGTTCTTGATTGCCAATAAGACAAACAGCACGAATAGTTGGACACCACCTCTGAAATTCTGCCATCCAATTGGCTAAAGTAGATTTCGGTACAATTACAATATGTGGTCCTGAATTATTTCGATGATGCTTCATATAGCCAATTAAAGATATCGTTTGCAATGTTTTACCCAAGCCCTAAACAAATAAATTAACCGACAGTAAAAAGTTATACTACAAAGTAAATCAGTTTTAAATTATTCTTTTTTATTGACTTACTGTAAAAATAAATATGTTTTAAGAAGTTTAATTTACCATTTCATCAGCAAGGATACCATTTATACCATTCTCGTACAATGAAATCATCCAGTTTAACCCTCGAATTTGATAATCTCTCATATTACCATTCTTTACATCTATAAAATACTTTTTAAATTTAAAAAAAAATTTAAATTATAGAAAAATATATTTTTATATATATTTTTTAATATTTTAAATAATTTTATATTATAAGACTTAAATATAAAAATGGTGTTTTAATATGTAAAAGTTATTTTAATAGGAGCAGTTTCATTTTAATCCAGCCAATCTAAATTACAAATAAGGGGTCATCCACAAATTACATCACATAATTTTTGACCATTTTAGACCCCTCCCTCCTTGTCACAACAATATAACACTTTAGTAACAAATTCCGTATGATTCGTCACTAAACCATTATCCTCTCCCCCCTCCTAGAGCGTTATGCAATTTATGTACAACCCCTAACCACTAACTCATAATCATTTTATTTTTCAAAGTTAGTGTTTTATAATTTTTTATTATTGTTAATGAACCATAAGTTTTCATTTTTAAAAGTCATTCGAACTTGCAGCTATCATTCTCACCTGTTTTTACTACAATGGCTGCTTGAAATAAAAAATTCTTGCTCACATCAAATCAATGTTAGCTTGATTAATTTCAATGCATGTTATAATTTGCATAACTTTTCTGATTTGAATCCCATCATAACGTAGCTGTTGAATTCTTCAACACTCAAATCATTAGGGATAGTGATTTGTTATCTCACATTGAATTTTCTTTTCTGTCTTGGTGGGTTTTTGAGCTTTTGGACAAAGTTAGAAGCTATTCAACGTTTTAAGGAACAAGAAAATGTAACTTAGGATCATATGGAGACTGTTCGACTGAGTGCTGAGCTTTAGATGCAACTTCCATAACAACATCACTGTCATCATTAATAGACGGAGTGAAAAAATGTTTAAGCCAGAGTCTTTTCGCTTCTTTAATAATTTCTTTGTTTGATGAGAGTAAGAATGGGGATACTTTCGGTACTTTAAGTACTCCTTGATTGATAAGAAATTTGAGCAGACTAACAGTTAAGATCAGATGCCTTTTAATAATCTCTATTTCAATTTCTTCAATCAAACAACCACAAATAAAACTTTCCCTTGCAATTCCTCTAACAAAAATTCCAATGCACCTTCTGTAATGTTAAAGTCCAAATTAATCCCACTCATGACATCCATAGTCATTTTTACATGGTTAAAGAGTTGCTAATAATTCAGGAATGATGGTCTCTAAATAATCAGACCAATTATGTCCAAATACTTTAAGAGATTTTTTTGAAGCTGGCATCATGTCATTGAAAGTTTGTAATATTTTCAATGCACAGTTCTGACAGAGTACAATCAATTTGATCTTGATTCAAAAAAAGTGAACATTTTCTTTAAGCTCTTTGACTAATTTATGTTTGTACTTGAACTTTTTTGTACAATAATTTGAACATCTTCGAGAGTTTTAGTACTAGACAAAGCAGGATCGTACTCAAATCTTAGTTTTCTTTATCAGAACTTGCGTCAGCTTTATTTCGTCTTCATCTTTTTTTCATCTTTTCTTGTAGTTGAACTAATCATGCATGGTGCGTTGCAAAAAACTTGAGATATGCATGCTATTGTATCACTCTCTGTATCTGATTCTGTAATTATCTTTTTACGTTTTAATACTCATGTCACACAAAGATGGATTCCATGATCATAGCAAATTTAATAAAGTTTCTGTGAGAGCCAGCCGCATTTAGTGTAAACACTTACCCCATCCATAATTTAACCAATGCAATCTCGTTTAGGATCAATGCCAAAGGTCATTAATTATTGATTTTGCAGCCTCAAAAGAGTTTTAGCATTACATTCTTTTCCCATTTTGGTCACACCAAGATTTTAATTGTAATTGTTGGGTCCAAAAATATGAATGTTTGTTTAAATGTTGCCTTATCGCTCAAATAGGAGAACTTACCTCCATTGGATTTTATCAGCATTATTTCCTTCATCTTTTTGTCCTTTATATATGCTGCTGAGCTATAAACTGTCTGACAAACTCTCTCAATGTTTTTGGGAGCTTCAACCTTTGTGTATCTTTCAATCAGCTTTTGCACCAATGTTTTCACAATTTGGTTGAAACTAAATCCAATATCAGATGTTAGCTCAGCAACAATTTCATCAGTCAAAGCTTCACTTTAAAAAACAAGTCAATAATTTTTGAGAGAGATTGAAGTTGCGTCAATTTTTCGGATTTGTCAGCAAAAGCAGAAGGAACATGGCAATATTGATGGAACTTCTATAAATGAGCATGAACTAATTTTGTGTCGTAGTCTGTTTACTTAATGAATTTATCCTTCACACTGTCAGGACACAAAGTGCATTCAACTTGAAACTTGTTATTTTTTTGAAACTAGACAGTAGATTTGTCATTTCAAATAAGTTCCTCTCGCGATTCTTTCCATTTCAATATTGGAATCTGTTAAATTTTAAAAATCATTAAAGTTGCAACTGCTATGCCAAATGTCATAAATTAAATTTATTGACTTTAGTGCTATAGCTTTTATTCTATTTAAACAAGAATTCCTTGAATGGAATTAATCTCCAAAGAAATAGTTTAGCAATCATTATCGAGTTTCTCATATAGTTCTCTAAAGGAAATTGCTTATTTTGCAGTTGTTAATAATTACTCTCAACGAGTATTAGAAATTTATTTAGATTGTCCAGAGGGAATTGATTTTGTTAAAATTTTTGTTAATTTAAATCTTACAATATTAAAATTATTATTATATTACAATAATTATAATAGAACTTTTAAACTTAAATTTAAAAAAATCTGTATTCACCCTCCCAATGCCAAGGTTTCTATTATAGTTGAGGAGGCTACTAACTTCTTTTTAATGATGTCCACATTTAACCCTTTAACTATGGGCCATTGACATGGGCCTTGACAAACAAGGCTATTTTGCAAATAAATAAAAGTTTTGTATTTGACTAGTGGAAAAAAAAAACTTGACCATCTAGTCTGTGTTAGTCAGTCAAATTGAGCAACCAAACCTATTGATTTTAAAAGCATAACTTAGCTTAGGCATATCCTTAAGTAGTAAAAATACAATAATAAAAAAATAGATAGCGCAGAACTGGGTAAATATCATCAGTCATTTTGCCTTAGCTATATTTTTTGTGTAGCGAGTGATTTTTTTATACAATTAAATTTTTGATTGATTAATTGATTATTTTACAATGTAGTGCATTTTTCTGGGTTGACTTTATGTGTTTTATTCAACATGTAATTTATTTAATTTAATTCCCCTGTATATAATTATTTTGTCAAAAATTAATTTTATTGTAGCATGTTACGCTTTTAAATTTTTTTTGTTTACTTGGATTGGAATTTTAAACTTGATTTTAAACTTTCGAACAGTAAATGTTCTTTTTACTTTTTGTTGAACTTATCTCTAACCATATTAAATTTTGTATAAAACACAAGTGCACTGTTTTTGTTTGCAACATTTGCGCAACTCCCAGAAAAACTGTCAACTTAAGTTAAAAATAAAAACAGCAAAATATATTGTTTTATTAAATTTATTTTTTTTATAGATTGAATCATATTTCCTATACAAAATTAGTAAAAAACATCTAACACATTTAAAAGGTCACTTTAATAAGTATTACAAATTTACAAAAAAATGTTTATTTATTATTACGTTTTTGTGAGCATCTTTAAGGTAAAAAAAAGTTCATTATTAAAGATTTTTTTTTTTAATGTTATGAAAATTATTTTTGAATAAACTCAATAAGTTTAAATGACCTGTATAGGAATTTCATAAAAAACCATATTAAAAACAGTAAAAAAAAGACAAAAAACAATAACAAACAAACAACAAGGAACTATGGAGCTTTAATAGTTTTTAAAAACCTATTAAAATTTTTAGCTCTATATTTTCAATTTAGTTTTTTAAAAGTTTTTAAACTTTTTAAAAACTAAATAGAAAATTTAACCTACACAAAATTTCTTTAATACGCAAAAATTTTTATAGTTGCATTTTTAACTTTGCATGTTAAATACAACTTAAGTCCAAAAAATAGATACATGTATCTATTATTAAAAACACTTTTTTAAAAATAAACTATTGGCAAAAATTTTTAGTTTAAAATTGTGTTAGGTAACACAAAAAAATTTTTAAAAGTATCGAACTATTCATATAAGTTTATATTTACAAAAGCCTTTTCTTATGATTACTTGCTTCGTTTGGAGCTATTTCAACGCAATTTTAAAACTTTTTAAGTTAGAAAAAAAAGTTTTACAAAGAAAGAAGAGTAACAAATGAAATTTTTATATATTAAAATAGTAAGAAACACAAAACAAAACAATATTTATAAAATAATCAATCATTTTAATAATAAAGCAATCTAAATATATACTAAAATAATGTTAAATTTGTTTAAACACAACATTCATTTTAACAACTTTTCTAAAAAATTACGCTTGAATAAATATTAGAAAAAATAGTTGCCACAATTGTTTCTCTGATGTTTTGTGATACAAAATGTTACAGTGTAACTACAAAACTACATGATAAATTATCATAATCATTTTATTTTCTTCGCAATTATTTTTAACTAAATATCAAAAAGCCCGCAAAAATGCTGAAAAAGCGCTAGCACAAGCAACTATCGAGTGGCTTTCATCGCTAAGTTTGTATTAGACTGGCCTTTTCACCACTCGTGCACTCTTTTACTCCTGCCAAGACCTATACACACTCACACACACACACATATATTTAAAATAAAAACAATATCATTTTAGGATGTATTAACATCATTTATGCATCCCCGGCCACAAATCTGGCCCTAGCTACATTCTATCAAATCCAGCCCTGGCCCCAGTCAAGTTTCAACCCTTGTCGCTTACTACTGAGTTAACTTTACCGTGTAGTATGACATTTGATGTAATATGGATAAAAAATCAAATAAGTAAATAAGAAAATATTAATGAAAATAAATTTACAATAGGTTTTAACAAAACAAAATACTTACAAGTTGGAGAAGAACTAAACTGTACAATATGGGCATCAGACTGTTTTGAATTTTCTAACAGTTCATCATCTTCTTCTTTTTCGGTTTTTCGATGACGATGACTTAAAACAAAATATTTTGATTTAGCAAAAAAATGAATATTTTACACAAAATATAAATATTTCATAAAGTATAAAAAAAAAAATCCAATTGAATCCTTACTCATTAGCAGTCGAGACTGATGTAACTCCAGGAGGACTTGTTGGAAAATCTGATTTTTTAATTTTCAATGGACTTTTTGGAGGTTTCTTTCCAGTATTAAGAAAATGGGCAAATATTTCTGTCTGTTTAAGAAGATAATTGAAACGAGTTGCTCTGTCTTTTTCCATTTTTTCATTATATTCCTTATTGACACTCATTTCTTTGTTAATAACAACTGCAGGTGGTAGAGATTTTTTTTCTTCCTCATCCTGAAAAGAAAATATATGCTTAGTACAGTCATTTAAAAAAAACTTTTTTGATTTTTAATTACTTTTATATTGCATATATGGAGAAGTATTTTTTTAACATACAACTAGATTGAACAAATCTAACATAGAGCAATTTGTATTAACATTTTAAAAAGTTTATCATATGAAAACATATTTAGTAAAATCAATTGCTTCGCACTAGCAAATAGAAGGTCACAGGTGCTTTTATACAACTTTAGAAGTTTATCAATAACATAGAATAGCTAATTAGTACATACGAACAACATAACAACAACAAAATGGTAAATATGACTCAAAAAATTGGTCATTACTATTTTTTTTTTTTTTTTTGTGGTAAAAATAGCACTAATCAATTATATTATAATTGGTTAATACTATTTTTATTTAAATAATTTTGACAAATAGTGTTTGTCTTGTTGTGTTGGCTAAAAACTCTGCACTTTGTATGATGGCAACATAAAAAAAGTAAATAAAAAAACATTTATCTTTTACTAGAACTGGGTGGAAGTGATGAAGCTACTGACTATTGCATAAAATTTGCTAACACTTAGACAAAGAACAAATGCCATCAATCAAAGAATTGATTATGGAGCTGTCATCATCATTGCAATTTTGTGCAAGTTGTTGCTCAGAGATTAGAAAAAATAATAATCTGTAGACATAAAGTTGGGCAAGTAGGTAAATGAGGCAACACATCGCAGCTAAGCTCAATATTTTTGCAGCATTTAATTAGCAGTGTGAGGAGAAAAGTTATTGTGGAAGTAAAATTTGTTGTGATTCAGGAGATAAATAGTTTTTGAAGAACAACAAATAGTTGGCTAAAAACTATTATTGTAATTTTTATTTCACCTTTTTTTTCTTTTTGTTATGTGTTCAACATATATATAGGTTTAGTTTTTAAACATTAATATTTTTTAGAGTTCAATATTTATATAAATAATGTGCGAAACCAGTGGATGTATAAAAATGTTTTAAAAACTTTTTATATGAGAACCTTTATTTAAAAAATTTAATTTAAATTTCAAATTTGGGCACAACTTTCAGCAGAGAGCTGAAAGAAATTTGCCCAAGGACCGCCATGAAGAAAATCATGTAAGGAACCCCAGTTAACTTAAAGTTAGTATGAAGCTCCATGATAAGGTGTGAGAAAAGTTTTGGTGAGATCAGATTATGATCTGAACCATCTAAAGTAGAACAATCAGAAACTGAGCACAGGCTATGGTCAGAGACATAAAAAAGGAGTGAAGCAAGTTATTAAGGTTATGAAAAAGATGGTTTGGAAAACAAACGATCTAGACTTGATAATTTATTCTACAGACTTGATAATTTATTCAAGTGTGTTTTATTCCTAAGAGTTTAAGTATATGATGTCATTGATTTGTTTGTTTGTTTATAATCGATCTTTTACACAAACAAAAAAAAATCAATGACATCATGTACTGAAACTCTTAGGAAGAAAATGCGCTTGAATAATTATCAAGTCTGTAGACTTGATAATTTATTCAAGTGCGACGTATATTACGCTGACTTTTTGGCCTACAACTAAACGTTCTTAGTTCATCAGTTAATTGTTTATTAATAGAAGTTTTTTGTAAATCTTGCCAAAATAAATTATCATTACCTTCCGCAATAAAGATTTCAAGTAAAAGTCAAACATATGTTGACAAATGATATAATAATAATTATCTACAATGGCTGTTTATTACTATAACACTTTGTGTTAACTGTGGTATAACATTTTAGAGAAAAAAGCAAAGAAAAGATTGGTGCCTCAGCCCAAACTCTTATCTGATGTAGCAGCACTTCTTCATGGCAGTAGACTATAAGAAAGTTTAAGTATGGGACCATCCTAAAAGTACATATGCAGGTATGGGGGGAGGGAAGGGTTTCCCAAAAGCATAGGAACGCGTACAAGAGGGGGGTTAAAGATAAAGAAATGTCAAATAAACTAAATGTTTTTTGTTTTTAATGTTTTGAAATATTTATGCATTGGGGAAGGGGGGAGGGGGTTTATTATGAAAAAAAAGTAATGCGTTTGTATGTGAAAGGGGGGGAAGTACATATATATATATATATATATATATATATATATATATATATATATATATATATATATATATATATATATATATATATATATATATATATATACATACATAGATATATAGATAGATATATATATATATATGTACTTCTGATTTACTTGCAAAGACAAAATCTTGAATAAAGGTGAATATTTCTCGGCGCAGTCATTTGTTACTTGTATGTTTTTTAAACTGAACAAACTTTCTGTAGCTTTCCAAGTTATTCCAGCAGCCAGAACCTCCCTTAATCCATTGAGAAACATCTTCCTTAGAAATACCAACAGTGTCAAAAAGGATCCAGCTTTCTGGACCCACAAGGTTAGGAAGAGTCGAATTACAGTCCAAATTAAGAACCTTTGTTGGTGGACGACGTCTAAATGTCTCTGGCTTAACATTGATGAGCAAATTTGTTATCATTTCTACCTTAGTGATATCAGGCAAATCTTTGTCTGCTAATGCAAGAACATTTAGTTGTTCATCTAAATACATTGTGTGGCGTTTTAAGCTTTTTATTAGAGCATTTCCAAGATCTTTATACTTCTTAGAGCAAAAAGATTTCTTTAGCTCTTAGTCTTTTAACGCCTCCAAATCGTATCTTGAAACACCTAAAGTTTTGAATAACTTCGCCAAGGAAAAATATACTTAGCTTTACTAACTTGCAGCAATCAACTGGAGCAAATGTTTCATTATGAAGTGCGTGAGGGCTTCTTTGGCTTTTACATAAAAAATTGAACCAGAAGATAGAGTGCTCCTATCAAAAATATATATATATATATATATATATATATATATATATATATATATATATATATATATATATATATATATATATATATATATATATATATATATATATTATCAAGCTTATTTACCTCATCAAAGATCTCTGGACAGATCTTTTTAAATTTAACATAAAGTGGATTTTTGTGGATCTTTAGTACCTCCAAACAAAACTTCTAAGAAATGTGAAATGTGGACTTCATATATATGATGCCTACATAGAACCCATAAGATGAGTCAATAATATTATTAAGAGCTGCTATATGGTATTTACCAGTATTACAACTGGTTGTATCTGAATTAACTGCAAAAACTTGATCTACACAATCTTTGAAGAATGTTAAAAATTTCCTTTGCCTGAACTTCTCCTTTTGAATTTTCAGTTATGTGAATACCCAAGAGAATGTCTTCTGAATCCAGAGTGTCTGGAGTGGATACACTTAATGCTAGTCTATTATTTGTAACAGAGATATTCTTCTGCTCACAAATTTGCTTCACAAGTTTGGTGTCAATGTGTAACATTAATCTTTTGCCTTTTAGTTTGTCTATGATCTCATTTCTAATAAAATCACCCTGTTTCTCAATGCTAACATGTCGGTTTCTATGAAGAGTTGATAGAGAGATATTAACATTATCAATATCAATATTGGCAGCATTAATGATACTAATTAGCTTATTGTAATGACCTCGATGACTGATGTTGTATCTTGTAGCTCAAGCAGATGTTGCTTCAATAAGTTTTTCAGCAGTAAGCTCTATGAGTATCTTGTTGTTTTTCTGTCTGCAAGAAATATGATTAGACTCTGAGATATCTGAATCATATTTAGAAACTGAATACTCAGATGTTATATCTTCATTTACAGAAACCTCAGTTTCCTCTGTAACAAAGAATTGTTTTTCTGAACTCTGTCTCTTTTTCTCTTTCTTTTTCTGCCTTTCAATCTGACCTAATTTTGTAAGCTTTATTTCAATCTAAATAAAAAGAAAATGGTTAAAAAAAGAGCAAAATGAATAAAAATTTATTCTACTTGCAAAATAAATTATCACTTTTTTCAAGTAGTCCTTGTCTTTCCCTAAAATAATCATCTTTCTCTCTCTTCTCTGATCCTCCAGGAAGGTTAAGTCTTCTTGAACTTTTTCATTATCTCTATCCTGGCTTATCCTCTGCTTGAAATCTGATCTGGATATGTCGAAAAGCAAATCAAATTCTTCTAAAAACAAATTATGACTTGATAGTGGTTTTTTCTTTAACCAAATTTTTGTCACTCGAAGTAAATTTATGTATTTTTTCTGTATCTTGCAAAGCTTTTTTTCTATTGTACTTTTCTTGAGAACTGCTTTTTAGGGGTTCAAATTACAAAAAACATGAAGTGTTTAAATGATGAATATTACATAGAAACAAAATATTAAAAAAATATATAAAACATCAAATAACCTAATAACTGAACCAGTCTGAATTACACCTTGAAATTCTGCTCTCATCCAAACTTTCTGAACTTCTTTTACCACACAGTTATTTCCATCCTCCCTGTCACACTTGCTGTCTAGGCAAACAAGAGCAAATTTACCGTATTCCTGAGGCCAACCCATATTTTCCTTGCAAAGCTTGAATTTATATTTTTTGTCTGATTGCAGATAAGTAGTACCCAGCAAAAAATAGTTTATTATGTATTTTTTAAATTTAAATTTGATTAATTTAAATTTCAGTTAGATAAGTTATATGGCTAAGGATAGTTTTAGTATTTGCAATTTTTTTTAAATAAACTTTATAAACTTTATTCCAAAAAAGTACAAAAAAAAATTTTAATATTAATAAAAATTAAAAAAATTTCTTATTTTTAACAAAAATTGCAAAAATACAGCATCAAATTAATCCTGTTAGACTTGTCCTACAGATCTAAAACTTAAAATATAGTCTTTTGGGGTCAAATGACTAAGATTAGAGAGTATAGTGTTGTTTTTTTTGGTTTTTTTTGACACAGGCTAATATATATATATATATATATATATATATATATATATATATATATATATATATATATATATATATATATATATATATATAAATTTCGAAATTCTGTTATTAAGCACGAAAGAGTTTTCATATGTGCGTGCAAACTTTGCAAAATGAACATATTTTAATTATCATTTAATGTAAAAACCACATTAATTACAGGTTATTTTAGTGGCTAAGACAACCAATAGCAGTTATTTTCAAAATGGGGAGTATTAGTACTTAAAATGGCATTTTTTGAAACTACAACGTTAAATTAGAACACTATCCATTGATTTCTAGACTTTTTATAGGATTCCTAATCAAAATATATATTCTATCAAAATTATTCATAAAATAAAATTAAAAAAAAAGAGGGAGAGGTTTATATTTTCATAACCAACATCACATTATAAAAACTAATTTGTTTGCAAATATGACTATTAAAATTATTCATATACTAAACTTGACTGATTTAACAGAATAAATATTAAAAATTAGATTATCCCTAATTTTAGCAAATTATTAATTTTGTTATCTTACTGAGGTTTCGTCTTCAGAGACTATTTCTGTTTCATCTTCTTCTTCTTTCATAATCTTTGCACCTGTATCCATATCTTTTAAAAAATGTTTGCAAACTTCAAAAATTTCTAGAGTGAGCAGCTTTTCGCGCGAGCTATCTATTAACTCAATAAATAAACTCTTTGCAGAAACGGTAACCGAAGCTGACTTTTAAATACCGTAATAAGACATTATTTAGCCGGGGGAAGTATTTGATTGCTTTGGACTTATTTGATGTTTTAAAAAAAATATTTATTTTGTTTAAATATAGTTTTTAAACAGTTAAAAAAGATGTTTTACGGATTTTTTAAATATTATTTAAAATCTTTTTTCCTAAACAAATTAATATTTTTATACCTAATTTTTTATTTTATAATTTTTTATTTTATATCTAATTTTTTATTTTATAAAATTTTTTATAAAATATTTTTTGTATGTTTAATATTATATAATAGTATTTTTACATATACATAATAGTTAATTTATACTCAATAGTATTTTTAATAATTTTTATACTGTGTATTATTAAATGTATTTTAGGGATTGTAAACTGTAGGTATTGATCAAAAGTTTACCGGTACATTTTTATTCTTATTTTGTACGGATCGCCTGAGTATTTATAACTACAGGTATATGTACCTTGAAATGTAGGTGATTTTTTGAATAGCCATAAATAATTTTGTTATAATAGCTGAAAGCTAATCTTCAGAATATGAACATACCTTATAGTCATTTAAATTCCTTTAGGGTACTTGTTGTACTTACACTCTTTAATGAATCAGCAATAGCTCTACAAAATAAGGCCTATTTTACCATGTGAACCTTAAAACGTAGGTTTTATTTTATAGCAATAACTCTGGAACAACCTTTTTATTTCTGTTGAAAGTTTGTGTTATAATTTCTTAATTGTTTTATGTCAAATACAAGTAATTAGATTGTATAAATAACTTTCAGATTTTCAGTTGTACTTCATAATGGAGGTTTTTTGTACCTTAAAATGCAGGTAAGATTTTTCTAAGAAATAAAAAGTTATATTTTAAATTATTCATAATGCTTTTTAATTTTGTTTTTATAGTTAAAGTATATTAAAATGAGACCAAAGTTCAATTTTAGGTTAAGACCTAAAACAAAATATCAAGCAGCTTCTTACAGAGACTAAATAGTATTGAACGAAAACATTTTAGCAAATGCTGTGTATTATTGTAAAAAAACAACTGTTGAGGCTACAAATCTGTTAAACAAGGTAGTTATAATGTTGATCCTAGAACTATAAATCACATTTTAGACAGTGCTAAAGTTGGTGAAAATAAAAACCATCTTTAGATTTTGACAAAGGATGAAGAGAATGCAGTATTATTGTATGCAAAAAATAAAAACAGATGTCTTCAAGGTATTACAAAAAAAGAACTGTCCACAGTCATTTTAAATATAATAAAGTATCGTATGCATGCTAATAAAAACCTGAAAAATCATCATTTATACTGCAAGCTTTCGCCAAATGCAGAAAAAGCAATACTCAAAAATAAACTATCATGTTCTTTCTGGTCAAGATTCATGGCAAAGCACCCCAGTCTAACTCAAAATAGACAAGGGAGAGTTTCTATAAACCGTGCTTTAAACTGCACTAGAGAAATGGGTGAAAGTCATTTAAATGAATAGTCGAAGAACTTAAAATTGCAGGTATAATGAAGAACAGTGAAAAAACTTCAGGAGTGTGGTACGGTATAATAGGTACTAAATGCATATTTAATCATGACAAAACTCCACAGTTTGTAAACTTTGGAGTTGACGGGAGTGCAAGTGGATTAGTGTTTGCTGGAAAGGGTGATGCACGTGCAATACCTTCTCGGTATTGCACGTGCATGTACAAAACATTAAATTAACCTTATGTTTATACTAAACCTCAAAGAAATTTATACTAAACCTCAAAAAAAAAAATTTAACTTATAGCGTAGTATTTTTTAAAGAATTCAAAGAATTTTTCAAAAACTTTGCTTTGGAGTTGTAGTCGGAGTTAGAGTCGGAGTCGGAGTTGTACTCAAAAAATTTCAACAACTAGAGTCGGAGTTGTGCTCAAAAAATTTCAACAACTGGAGTCGGAGTCGTTACTTTTTTTTACAACTCCACACCCCTGGTACTAACAGATGGTCACTCTTCAAGGTTTGACGTAAGCGTCCTTTATTATTGTCGTGAAAAACAAATTCGTTTTTTTGTTGGTCTGCCAGATACAAGAGGTGTAACACAAATGTTGGATCAAGTAAATCATAGTTTATACCATCATTATCGTTAATGTAAATCTAAACTGTTTTCTAGTATGATGACAATTGATCGTTCTGTGTTTATGGAAATATTAGGAGAGATATGGTCATCATGGACAACAAAAGAATCTTTAATCAAACCAGCTAAAGCAGTTGGTATTGCAGAGACAGGACTAAATGTTAACTGGATGCAAAAAGATAAACTTGAACAAGCAGCAAGATGTATAGCAACTATTCAGTCTTCTCAGACCCCAAAATGATGCTCTGTACAAAAAGTCCCAATTGTTTCATCCTCTCACGATGTTAGAACAGGTTCTCGTGAATATTACAGAAAAAAAACTTAAAATTGCATATAGAGTTATCCATGATCTTACTGAATCCCCATTACCTCTTGAATATGTTCCGGATTTGCTACCATATTCAAAGGTTATCCCAAAAGACACCTCTAAAAAAACCATAAAAGTAACACAACAACATGGATCAATGGAGGGGGAAAAAGTCTTAGAAGCAGTAGCTGAAAAAGAAAACGAGAAAAAGAAAAAAGACGAAATGAAGCAGGTGAATAAAAATAATCGTGCAAAAATAAAAGAACAATTTATCAAATGCAAAGATCAATGTCAATGTAAAGGAAGGTGTTGTATATTTAGCTACAGGCAGTGCCCTATTTGCAATGATGTTTTAAAGTCAGTTTGTAGCAAGCAATCCTGCAAAGTTGACGGCATTAAACCAAAAATGATAGTCTCTGAATCGATCATCAATATCAACTCTTTACATTTTTATGAACATTTTATTTCTTTTTTTGATTAAAGTTGTGTTTTATTTGTTAATTCAAAATTTGTTTGTTATTTGATATATAAGTTGTAAAATTTAAATCGACAACAAAGATAGCATTTTATCGGTTTTAGAAAACTAATGTGCACCTTAAAATGTAGGTCTAGTGTTTTCGATGATAACTACAATAGCAAGATTTAAATCTTAAATTTAAGCTGAAACTATAGTAGCTATAGTCCTAATACTATTGATTATTTCCATATATAGTTTTTATAACTTAATTCTTTGTTTTAAATCTGAATTTTATGTTTTTTTTCTGTGAACATTCGTTGTAATATTACAACAACAACATTTTTTGCACCTATGGAATTCTATACAGATGATTGCTGCATCTGCAACAACTTTTTAAAAAAATTTTAAAAAAAATTAATTTCCTGTGTCATAAATCGATGAACTTTTATCAGAAAACATTGAAAACATATTCAATTCCTCTCGGTTGTAAAAAAAGATCACCTTGCAATTCAATTTACGTTTTATCATTTATTTAATCTTGTTACTGCTACTACTAATACGCGTGGCTTTCCTGCAAATTATTTAAAACTTGTATTGATTAGAAGTGTTTAGAACTTTAGAACATTTTGATAAATAACAGAATGTTTTAGAAGACTTTAGAACATTTTAGAACAATTTAAAATATTTTGAAACATTCTAGAACAATTTAGAACATTCTGGAATATTCTAGAACATTTTAGACTATATATAGTTGCTCATATTTTTTTATAGTTATTACAGAAGCACGTACAAGCCTAGCGATAGTAGCAATCAGAAGAACATGGATGTCTGGACCAATAATCTGGTAAAATTTGAAGACTCTCATAAAAGGAGAAGAATGATCCCTTTGCAAGTATATTCACTGGAAGAAAAGTGCAAAATGCCTCTCCAAAAGCAAATTATCGGACGCTACCATTTCCTTGGACCAAAAATCAAAAGAAGAAGGAGCGAAAAGCGGAAATTTCAAAGGAAGTCACCAAATTGTGGAAAAATAAACTATATCAAAGTGTAAGGACCAACTTTCCATATGCAACTTTTCAATCATTTCTTCCTTCAACTTGATTGCTTCTTTGATTGTTGACTTTGATTGTTGACTTGGAGTTAAGATGTCAAAGCCAATTGCTTGCATATGTTAGCAGCTTTGTTTGTTGATACTCTTCTGAAGATCACCAAGTTGACTGCAATTTTTCTTTTATGATGTTTTCTGCTTGGTGTAGGAGTTGTCTCATCCTCTTCTTTATTATTTTCATATTCCTGTCGTCAGCCTCAGAGTCAGAATCACTAAAAGCAGGATAGTGAGATGAGTTGGATGACTCATTAGAAAGTTTTTGTCTTTTAGAGGAATGGATTGTTTCTTTACTGGCTACTTGGCCTATAGAGTATCCCGCTGTTCCTTTGCTTTCCATTTGGAGATAATACAATCGCTTGCCCTCGGAAGATCATCTTCAATCCACTTTATAGTAGTATTAAATTTCATCAAGGGGTTCGTAGCTTCCCCGCTTGACACATTCATCATAACATTTCAGTATTTTATCAAGCTTTACTCGTATAACTTGATCAGATATATGAGAAAAATATAGTTTATTCTTCCACAATTTGGTGACTTTCTTTGAAATTTCCGCTTTTCGCTCCTTCTTCTTTTGATTTTTGGTCCAAGGAAATGGTAGCGTCCGATAATTTGCTTTTGGAGAGGCATTTTGCACTTTTCTTCCAGTGAATATACTTGCAAAGGGACCATTCTTCTCCTTTTATGAGAGTCTTCAAATTTTACCAGATTATTGGTCCAGACATCCATGTTCTTCTGATTGCTACTATCGCTAGGCTTGTACGTGCTTCTGTAATAACTATAAAAAAATATGAGCAACTATATATAGTCTAAAATGTTCTAGAATATTCCAGAATGTTCTAAATTGTTCTAGAATGTTTCAAAATATTTTAAATTGTTCTAAAATGTTCTAAAGTCTTCTAAAACATTCTGTTATTTATCAAAATGTTCTAAAGTTCTAAACACTTCTAATCAATACAAGTTTTAAATAATTTGCAGGAAAGCCACGCGTATTAGTAGTAGCAGTAACAAGATTAAATAAATGATAAAACGTAAATTGAATTGCGAGGTGATCTTTTTTTACAACCAAGAGGAATTGAATATGTTTTCAATGTTTTCTGATAAAAGTTCATCGATTTATGACACAGGAAATTAATTTTTTTTTTAAATTCAAAAAGTCATAACTCTATTTTATATATATATATATATATATATATATATATATATATATATATATATATATATATATATATATATATATATATATATATATATATATATATATATATATATATATGTATATATATATATATGACCGTAGAGAGGTGGGGTCAGGGAGGTATATTGTCCTGGGGCCCGGCTCTGTTCAAGGGCCCGGACTTGTGAATTATAAAGTATTATATTTGCATTAAATATACTGCATTTGGATTAGTTGTTCTAATTACAGTTTTTAACATTAGTATTACCGTAAACGTTAAATTTAAATGCAAAACATAATAAATATTTTATAAATTTTATAAGCTAAGTTATTCGAAAATAAATCAAAAAGAAAATATCTCAAGAAAAAAATTATGTAGTAAAAAATATACTTTGAACACATTATTTGGAAGCATTTATAGTTTGTATAATTCGAGTACTTTAGATCATTTGCAGAACTTTAAATCACTTGCGGTATTTTAAAATAAAAGACAAAGAATGCCAGAAAATTGCCCATTTGGTTCTACAGTTTAGTTTATTTTTATATTAAAGTTTAATCAGTTGTATATGTAGTTTTGTTATAAGGTATAAAACATTCAATTATAAAAATTGCTTTATTTAAAAAATTAAATGACGCTTAAGATCAGTGACGTAGCAAATATTTTTGCGACCGGGGCAAAAATGAAATAAATGCGCTTTTTTACAATAAAATTAAGTTAATTAAAATTGGTTTCATTTTTTTTTTTTTTTGCTCCTCAATTTTTTGGGCCTCTTAAAGCCTTCGCGACAGGGGCCATTTCCGCTTTGGTCTCCCCTCACTACGCTAATGTTTAAGAGTGTTTGTTGTACATATTGCTTTATAATACATACCATCGATATATCAATATCTTTAATATGGTATATTATATCATATAGAGAATGTTTTATTTACTGGAATGATAATTAATGCCAATTTATTTAAAACCTTATTTAGCAGTCAAATAAAAAATGAACTACCATCACAAATCTGGATCTCAAAAAAGGAAAGAAAAATTGTCGAGGTTGAAAAATGTAAATGAAAAACAAACTCTACTTCAAAGTTATGGATTTTCAGTGTCTTTAAAAGAGAAAGATTTAGAAAATGCATATCATAATGTAGAAGTTAATTTTAACAATAACGACAACGTTGTTGAACAAGCTGCAGATTCAATTAATGTAACTGACGACTTTCCAGATCCTGATAACATAGAAAATAAGGATGACGTGGAGCCCACAATCTTTTAGTTACTATCAACAACATCTCTGAGAATTATAAATTAGATATAACTGATAATGAAATTACTAAAACAAAACTGCTTGACTTTGTCTATGTTGGCAGTCTAAAAAATGACCAAATGCTTCTGAAATTGAGGAAGCAGTTCGTAAGGGTCCAGAAAAGATCCCATCTCAATTTCCAAAAGATGTGAACGGACATTCATTTCCTGTTTGTATACTACGTACAAGTATAAAAAATCGAGAATATGTTCCCCGTGATTGGCTTGTTTGGAGCAAAGTTAAACAATCGATGTCTTGTTTTCCTTGTTGCCTTTTTATCAAACTACCAAGAACAAGTCGCTCACGTTTAACAACTATATCTGGGTATTGTTTTCAAAGAAAATGGAAAATTTTACATGACAAAATTCCAGAGCATCAAAGCAGCAGCAACCATAAATATTGTTATATTAAGTGACGGCAATTGGAAAAAAGTATTGACTCTAATTCTACTGTCGATATTATGCTGCTGCAGACCATTAAAAATCAAGCAACAAGTTCTTCGCCGAATTTTAGATGTCACATTATTTCTAGCCGAACGAGGTTTAGAGGAACAGTTAGAGTTGCAACAAATAGCAATTTTTTGGGCATTTTAGAGCTTTTTAGCCATTTTGATTCTGTCTTGAAAGACCTTCTGAACAAAGTGATGAAGTCGCAGAAATTAAAGAGAAGACAACAAGCAAATTACCTTTCACCGGAAATACAAAATGAGTTTATAGAGTGTCGTGCCAAAAAAGTACTAGACGTTATTTTAAGATTGAGGTGCTCTTTATGTAAATTTTTCTAATCGAGAACATCCTGTTACAACTCTGTTTAACTGTTTGGTTGACGTTTCGTGGAAATTATCATGACATAATTTTTCAACGGATCGGCCAACGATCTGGAAGTATCCATGGATTGCAAACGTCAATAAAGGAATCGAAGAGCGATTTTTAATCATTTTATTAAAAAATCCAAAGTTATTTGCTCTAATTACTTTGAATTTAATGAAAATATTATCATAATATCATTGTTCTGTTATCTATTTATATCTATTTATTTATAACAAATTATTTATACTAAATTATTTCCTCCTCATCATTTATACCTAATTAAAGCTTTTTGTAAATTAGCTGAACTATGTATTTTAACTAATGAATAGCTCCGTTTATTTTCTTATCACGAAAAGATGTTAACAACAACAGCAACAAATTAAGTACTCTGTTTTTAGGTTTGGAAAAAAAAGTTTTTACAAATAAAACTTATAAACATCGTTGGAGCAATTATGGAATTACGAAAAAGATATTTTTTTGCATTTGTTAGTTGAAAATAAAATTTTATAACGTTTATTTTAAATTGAACAAAAATCGGAAATAGTTGAAAATTTCAACTATTTCCTCCTTTTAATTAAGCGTTCTGCGAACTTAATGCAGCAATGTGCGCATGCGCCGAAGAAAAATTTACCATTCCGCCATTTTTACATCAATCAATAAGCGATGTAAACAACATGGCATTGTCTAATATGAAATGGAAATGCGTAAAAGAACCTTCGGGACCTAGTCCGCGACCCAGACACGGTCACCGTGCAGTATCAATAAGAGATTTGATAGTTATCTTTGGGGGAGGAAATGAGGGAATTGTTGAAGAACTTCATGTGTATAATACTGGTATGACATAAGATGCCAATATATATTTTCATTTTTGAAAATGATAAATCACGTGCGTTCTTAAAATGTATTTGCTTATAAATTTTAAAAGCATTTTCATCAAGGTTATAAAAATTTAACGTTTATACAAAAACTTAGCATTAATTTTTAGCTACAAATCAATGGTTTGTTCCTGCAGTACAAGGAGATATCCCTCCTGGATGTGCTGCATTCGGCTTCGTATGCGATGGAACTCGACTGCTTGTCTTTGGTGGCATGGTAGAATATGGAAGGTATTCAAATGAGGTAAAAATATATTTTATAAATTTTTGACGTTCTAATGTTATTAATTAAATCGTGGAAAACCTGCCAATATTAAAGTAAAAGATGCATGATTGCTCTTGTTTTTTTCTAAATCCGCCATTTTAAAAATATTCTAAAGGGTTTCCAAAATACTTCAGGGGCTTTTTAATGATGGTGGAACGGAACAATTGTTTTAAAGATTTAAAGATTGCAGAATATTATTCCGCAATAGAAGTTGTTCCGCAATTCTGAAGCAAACCGTTAAATAATTTTAATCAGCTAAAAAAAAAAAGTCGAGGAATTTAGTTTTTTTTAAGTTAATGTTTACGATCGTTACAATAATTATGAAAATTATATCAATGTCTAATTAACTTGAATATATATGCTTATTAAATTATTTGATATTATGTAAATTCCTCTTAAATTTACATTTAAAAATGAATATTGAAGGAAAATATTTAATTTTTTCTGATTATTTTTAGGAGATTCATGCTTTTTTGTGTGATATATAAATATAAATTAAAAAACTAGATTTGCATAAAAGTTTACTTTTTTTAATTTGTAAGATATAGTTAAATAAGATACAAGTAGATTTTTAAATTTTACTGTTTTGGTTATTTTTCTAGTTTATTTAATAGTTATTTGTATGAGTAAAGTAGTAGGGTTTAAGTAGACAGGTTTTGTAAAACCTGTCTATTTAAATCAATATATATATATATATATATATATATATATATATATATATATATATATATATATATATATATATATATATATATATATATATATATATATATATAGGGTGGTGTATCCAGCAATAGTTTAGGCAATACTGTCATTTATATATATGTACAGTAATTTATGTTTAACAAAATCATTAATCACTTGGAAAATTTAAATTGTTTTTTGATATTATTTATGCAGCATTTACATTAAATTAATTATTGTAAAAAATTTACATTAAATTAATCATTATAAAAAAATAAGAATTTAAATTTAACTTTGAGGGAATGTAAAATGGTTTTGCAATACTTTTTTAAATAATAGTTATTTTTTTTTATTTATTTGGAAACTTATTTGTTGTGCAAAAACATTAGGATTTTACAAAAGTCTCAAACATAGATTTAATTGTGTAAAAGCAAACTGATTTTTAGTGATATAAAAATCATTCCTTAAATTTGTAAATAAAGTTTCATAATTTTATAAAAAATATAAGTAAGCTACATTGCTACAGTTTACACTATAATTATCATTATAAAACAATGCATGGCTTACAAAAATGGAAATTTTTTAAAAATGTTTATTTGCTTTTATTTAATGTTTAGTTCATCAGATAATCATTAACATTGAAATTTATAACTTTATTTCTGACATTCTTCACATCAAACTATCTGAGAAAAAGTAGACTAGTATAGTAAAACAAAGGCAAAAAAAAAAAAAATGAACTTGAAGAAGAAGAAACATATGCTAGTGAAGCATTTAATTTTGCTTTTTCAGATTTTATTATTTCTTTTTTTTTTTTTTTTTTTTTTTTTTTTTTTTTTTTTTTTTTTTTTTTTTTTTTTTTTTTTTTTACTTTTTCTATAAGGTTTTCTTGCCTTTGAATTTTCACTATTTTTTAATTTCTAAACAAAGATAATTTTTGATTGGATAAAGCTACTGAGCTGAAATATTTAATGGTGTTTCTCTGTCTTATTTAGAGTATTCTAAGCAGGAACTTTTTAAAATTTTTAAAAAATAAGGCAAGCAATGCTATTTTTACATTTACATATTTTCCTATCAACAAAGTTTAAAAAATAGCTTAAAAGAGTCTCACAACTAAAAAATCTTCAAATCTTTTAAACAATTTTGAAACAAAAGCTCTCAACAATAAAGTAAACATAACAACAGCTAAAATAATTTATAAAACCAAAACATAGACAACTTAAAACATGTAAACAATTTAAAAAATAAAATAAGAAAGGTTTATTCTACTTGTTGCTGGTTAAAAATCAAAAGAAAGACTGGCGCATTGAATTTTAATCATACGTTCATTTTAGAAAAGCTATGTTTTTTACAGCTAAATCCTCTTGGTTGTGGCAATTTAGCCTTTACATTAACCATTTACGAAAGAATTATACTATGTATAGTTAGTAATACAGTTTACTTACAAAATTATTGTCTGCTATATTTATACTCTGCCTATATAAATTTGTAATGTGTCCTTGTTTGAAATAATTTTGCTATATCTAGGCTGGTTTTTCTAACAATATTGTATTTTTCAATACTTAGTCAGGAACTATGAGCCTTTATTGTATTGTTATATGGTTTCTCTTTTTACTTTTATAAATAAAATTACCAAAGCTGCTTTTAAAAGCTATAATTTTCTGTGCCTAAAATTCTAATCTGTAAGTTTTTGAATTTCTTCCCTCTCTTGTACTTTTTCAACTTATAGTTTGCAATTTTTAATATCTTTTAACTTTTTGTTAAACTAAGCCTGGTTGTTTAAAGCCTCCTTTCAAGTGAATTTTTAAAATAACTATTCTAAAATATATACACAATTTTTTTTGTTTATACACCTTAAATCACACTTCTAACAAAAATTTTATGTTAGTTGTATGAACTACAAGCAAGTAGATGGGAATGGAAACATTTACATCCAAAAGCACCAGAAAACAATATTTCTCCCTGTCCACGTCTTGGGCACAGCTTTACATTAGTTGGAAAGAAAATTTTTCTTTTTGGTGGATTGGCAAATGACAGTGAAGATCCTCGCAGTAATATTCCAAGGTCTTCTTATTTTAGTTAGTAAATCTCTATCATTGTTTTCATTTTTTTAGAATTTAATTTTTTTATTTTAGATATTTAAACGATCTTTATACCCTTGATTTGACCGCTCAAGACAATTTGCAGTGGGATGTTCCTTGCACCTATGGACAACCGCCTACAGCTAGAGAGTCCCATTCATGTGTGCTGCATACTGCTGAGAATGGAAAGCATCCACGTTTGTTTATTTATGGTGGAATGAGTGGTTGTCGTCTTGGCGATGTATACATACTTGATGTTGGTATGTGAAGTTTTATCACTTATGTCTCAGGCCTTGTTTTATTTTATTTATTTTTTTTTGGTTCTTGAAATGAAAAATTAAAATTATTTGTGTTCAAATAATTATCTTTGATTAAAGCAGTTTCAAAAATAAATCATTTACAAAAAAGGAGAATGGTTTTTGATTTAGATTTTTTAGAGAAGTGTTTGTACTTTTTAAAAGCTTTTTTTTAATAAGATTAGTGATCAGATATCTCATCAGATAATTAATTTTTTGAACTATTCCTTAAAATGCTTTCAAGAAATTAGTTTTTGCAAAAGTCTTCTTTGATTAGATTAAACAAACTTAAGAAAAACATATTTTGAAACCATTTAAAATTTGTATATGTTAAATCACATAGTTTAATTAAACTTCATTTACTGATGATATCATTCTTAAGAACAAAGATATTTTATCATTGTAAGAAATTGATTCAAATAGTTATTGTCTGATGCTAAGATCCATTATTCTCAGATTAGTAAATCTTGTTTTTATCTAAGAAGTTTTTAAAGACTTTCGGAAAATCATTATGGTGTCATAAACAAAAACAAGTCTAATATTTCATCTTTTACACATGAGTTTGATCTCATTAACTCTAAAGGATTAGGGAGAATTATTTGCAATGATTGTTTCCTTTAATTCTTGAATCAAATTACTGCACTCCTGTCATCCTAGAGATTTCCTCTTCTACAAATATTTCTATGGTTACTATGTTACTATGGTTGTTACTCAAGTGTGCTAGCATCTTGTTCAACTAAAACTCAATTCTTGTGTAACTCATTCACCCAAATTGCATCCTTTTGCTGTCCTTCAAGCTCTAAAAACTTTTTTTTTCTATTTTTATCATTGTGTGCTTGGTGGTCTTTCATAGAAAACTGATTAAAGGTAAAATAACAGATGTTTATATTTAGCAGCTCTTGGAATTAGGGTCAACATTGTTAAATGTTGACCCTAAATGGGTCAGCATTTAACAATGTTGCTAACTGCCGACCTTGAAATTTTTGAGGTTAGCAAAAAATAGCCGACCTTATTTCTATTTTTATGGTAACTTCTTTGTTTCATATTTAGTTTCTAACAGTTTGAGGTCGGAAATTTATTGACCTCATTTTTCTTAATTCTGAGGGTTGATTGAGTATAAGTACTTGCTAAAACACAACTAAATAGTAAAAAAACATAAATCCATTACTTTAATTTTTATGAAAGATGAAACCTAAATCTCAAGAAGAACTTAGAAAAACCAAAGTGGAGTTTTGGGCTTTGTCTAGTTTATGTGGTTCAAAACATTCATCAGATTTTGTAATGCAACTTAAATCTATTCTGTCTGTTTCTTTTCTTCCTGTTATGTCTACTTTAGAGGTCCCTGTAACTCAATGATCTAATAAAGGAAGTGGGTCTTAATATATAGATGAGTGAAATTTTTTTTACAGAACACGAATAAAGCAATTTAATTCTAGTGTGGCTTGGCATCAATTGTACATTTTTTAACAGCTGTTAATCATAATTTTAATAGGATTTATGTTTATATAAGTTTTATACTTATTTAGAAGTAAAAAAATACTTAATTTTTGACAAATCAAGTTTTATAGGATTTTTTGAAAGGTCAACGATTTTTAAAACCTGATTGAACTGAAAGTTTTTATTATTATCAGTGAATGATAAATATTTTTTCTGATTTTTTTTTTTTTTTTTAAATTAATAAACGTCACTTCCTGTGTATTAAGCACCTAAGAGTATTTTAAATAAAATAAAAACCTAATCAATAATTAACTTAAATATTTGAATTTGTATTTTATATTTAAAGATACTTGAATGTTCATTGTCTAATAAATAATTTGAGTTATTTCTCTTCCATATGTTTAAATTTTTTGTTTATCCTTCTATTTCTTTAAACAGCTTAACAAATAACTAATGATTATTATTTGTCATGTTAGAGCAGTTACTAATTATCCTAAACTACCACCAAATACTAATATTAATTAAGTTAATAAAAATATTAAATAATAAATAGTAAATATCATGTTAATGTCAAGACTATGAATATTGCAAATTAATTATACAGGCATTAAAATATACTCCTGCATTGTAATTTTTATTTTACAGGTTTTTTGTTTTTTATAGAAAAGATGCTATGGTCAAAACCTGTTGTACATGGGATTGCGCCTCTTCCAAGAAGCTTGCATGCTTCTGTTATGATTGGTAAACGGTAATCACTTAAATTTTATTACTTTTTTAAATTGTGACTAATTTCCTTTAAGGAGCCGTCTTTTAGACTTTAACTAAAATCTTTTAGGCTTTAACTTATGCGGAAGTGGTGTAGTTGTAAAGCGCTCGCCTCATAAGCAAGAAGTTCTAAGTTTGATCCCCACCATGTCCCTGGTAGTACCGTGCTCAACTTGTTTCTCCGCGCACTGGCCTTGTTTGTCAAGGTTTGTGTTTCAGAGGTATAAAGTTGAGAGAGGGTTTTAACCACAACTAAAGTAGCCTCATCGACTGTAGTGGCCTTCTTGGCCTTGGGGAGGTGAATTAACATTAAAAAAAAAGTGGGGTTTGTAGATTTTTAAATTACTCCTTGCTCCAGAGAGGCTTGACCCAAGTCAACTACATCCTAGACCTACATTGGTTTACTTTTTAAAACCATTTTTTTATTTTAAATTTTTTAGAATGTTTATTTTTGGAGGTTGGGTACCAGTAGCTATTGATGATGGAAAATCAAGTAGTGAAAAAGAATGGAAATGTACTAATACACTTGCTTGTCTTAATGTCGGTATGTTTGAAAAACAATAACCTTTTTATAATACTAAAATTTTTAAGTCATTTTTATTTAATTTTTTTATTTTGTATTGTTATGTGATAGAAAAGTTGCGTTGGGAAGCAATTAATGTTGAAGGATCTGAAGAACAAATGCCAAAACCAAGGGCAGGACATTCTGCTGTGAATGTATGCAGATTTTAAAAGTGAAATACTGTAATTTTTTTAATCTTCTAAGTTAAGCAGTGAAATTCACAAATATTTGTATTGCTTTTACTCAACCTTTAATATCACAGTAATATCATATTAATTTTACATTGTTTTTTGTTAAGGTACATACTCGAATGTATATTTGGAGTGGAAGAGATGGATATCGTAAAGCTTGGAATAATCAAGTTGAAAATGTTAGACTTATATTTTAAAACTTTCACTTTTTTTTTTGTTTGAAAATCTCAATATAGTTTCAAGTTTTATTTTTTAGGTTTGTTGTAAAGACTTATGGTATTTAGAAACTGGTATGCTGTTATTTGTTTTAAATGTCTTCTTAGGATAAGTTATTCATTTTTACGTTTTATTCATTTTATAATAATTATTTAAATTATTCAGATTGTAATTGAATAGAACTAGATATTTTTTTAATGAAATCATTGTCCTAAGCATGTGATAGCTTTAATTAAAATAAGTTTATTACAATTATTTCTTGAAGGTTTTAAAATTTTAGAGCTAATATACAGTTTAACTCTACAAGCATATTGCCTTTTTTGAATAATGGCATTAATTGTTGATCTAAGTTGCAACTGCATTTATTGAATAGGAGCATTAATGATTTTGATGATTGTATATAATTATCAATTTTAAAAGATTAGAATAAACATCATCAACTCTTATTAGTTGCTTCAGGTTCTAAACTTTTATTTTTACTTAAAGTATTTTGTATCAACAATAAAAGGAACATTTAATGATTACTTTAGATTTATAGAATATTTTTTGATTATTGTAAATAAAGTTTTCAGTTTTATTGACTATTTTGTTAAAAATTGTAGGTTTAAACACTTAGTGCAAAAATTTCTCTCTTTTTTATGTAAATCTTGTATTAATATACATGTAAATATATATCACGCGTAAATCATTATGTCTAAATTATAATACATAAAAAGTCATACAAAATCATTTTAAAATTTTTCAGTATAACATTTATTCAGAATTTTTAACTGCTTGATTACTAACATAAGTAAAAAAAGAAATTGCTCTATAAAAATTTTATTAAGTTTATTATTTTATTATTATTTTATTAATTATTTTGTAGCAACTCCTTCATATTTTTTAAAATTATTTTACTTTATTATTTTGTTTTATGTTCATACTGTGAAATTATTAGCCTCCTCTGTCTCTTTATTATCTTACATTATTTTAATACTGGATAATTTTATTTTGTCAGAGCGTCCTCCCGGTCCTTCTCGTGTTCAACTTGTTAGAGCAACTACTACTACTCTTGAGGTGTGCTGGGGAGGAATTCCAACAGGTGCTTTCTGAATTTGTTTTTCTTAGGAATTTGATGGTTGAAAAAAAGCTTATGCTGTTTTTCATATTTTCAGCCGATGCATACATAATCCAGATTCAAAAATATGAAGTTCATCCACCAGCTCTTCCATCAACTCCAATACAGAGTACAACAAAATCTTCTACTACAACACCTGATTTTACAAATGCTTTGAGTGCTGGTCATGTTGTAAGATTACCTGCAACTTCTATTCAGCTTTCTTCACCTCTTTCATTTTCTAAAACTCTCCTTGCTAGTGGACTATCAGCAAGACCAAAATTAACCATGCCTCAGCCTAATAGTCTTGTTAAAGTAACTAGTTCAAAAGGACTAACACAGCTGCCAATCCAAGTAGGTGGACAGAAAAATCAGCATATAACATTGGCAGCGCTTAATCAATTAACTGCTGGAAAGATATCTGGAAATCTTACTCCTAATATCACAAAAACTGTGCAAATTGTGTCACCAAGTAAATCGGGACAAATTACCCAACCACTTGTAACTAGCAGTTCAATAGTATCACAAGTTTCAGTGGCTGTTGACACAAAAAATCTAAGTATTAAGTCATTGACATCTTCACCTGCTGCTACTCAATATGCACTTGTAAGAGCTCAGCTTCCAAGCAGCAGTGGTGGTCCTGCGCAAACTGTGACATTTATTCGTGCTATAGGTCCAAATTCTACTTCTGCGACAAATGCAGGAACTACTGTTAGTGTCACACCTCAACAAATGGCAGCTTTGTTAAAAGTTCAACAGGGACAAAGTCAGGTTCAAAAAGTTATAAGTTCTGCTACTAATGGAGGTAAACAAACTGCAGCTTTGTCTGTAATGAATGATATAAGTGTTGCTCACACAGCAAACCAACCTACAATCAGTGTATCGGCAAGTCCCTCAAAGTTAATTTCATTGCAATTTCCACAAAAAATAGGTTTAAATTCCATAAAATCTATAAACACTTCATCGTTTTTAAATGCTTCAAAAGCTGTTGTTACCACTCAATCCTCTAATATTTCACCTATGGGTACCCTTGTATCTGGTATAGGAATATCTAAGAATCTTTCAGGTGTTTTAAACCAAACTCCATCTGTTAGACCACAACTTCCGTCAGCTCTCTCAAATCTAGGAATAGGTTCAAATTCAAATAAACGTCAAGTTAATTCAAATTCTCCAGACACAACTGAACTTATTGATACAGAGAAGATTTCTGCTCAAGAAAATAATATATATTTAAATACTGCGAAACATATTGAATTACCAAAAGTTATTTCAATTGATAATAATTTTGTAACATCTTCAGATGATAATAAAGACTCTAACAATACAGAAGCTTTACACGTTGAAACATCTGTCTCTGATTCAGTCAGTACTGATCATTCTTTAGCTGAAAATACTTTAGAAAAAACAATTAAAAACGAAGTTTCAAAAACTTTACTTTTAGAGAGGGAATTAGTATATAAAGAAGAAATTGATTCAAAGTCAATATTAAGTACAGAAACCCCTAAAAATGAAGAAAACGAACTTTTTGATGAAAAAGTACAAAATCCAATACCTAATATACTAGAAAATATTACTGATGTTTCTATGATAGAAGAAAAACCAGAGATAAAAAATGAAACAATTGAAGCAGATGCGTCTATTGAGTCTGTTGCTGCAACCACCCTTGCACAATTGGCATCTTATGCTGAAAATATTAATATCATACAAAATGCTCCAGCAGCAGATATTTCCAGCGATCCTCTTTCAACATTGGCAGCACTTGCTACTTCTTCCCCTATTGCAACTAACCCATTACCCGTTGGAAATGCACATAACACAGATGGAATAGCAGTAAGCCCGGTATTAGTACCTCCTGGAAAGAAGGTATTTTTCAAAGATGAACTTCAATTTAAGTTTTTAAATTTTTTGTTGTTTTTAGCATTTCATATTTAAAATGAATTTAATTTTTTTTATTTTCAGGCTCTGAATAAACCAATCCCATGGTTTGATGTTGCTATGACAACTAATACATCAATTGTTGTTTCTCACTACTATGTCCCTGTAGAAGAAGGCGATAATAATGTAAAAATTATATTTGTGTGTAAAACCATTAAACTTGAATTATATTTACTTAGTTGAATTTATAATTATATGTATATATATATATATATATATATATATATATATATATATATATATACACATATATATACATATATATATATCTATATACATATATATATATATATATATATATATATATATATATATATATATATATATATATATATATATATATATATATACATATATATATACATATACATATATATATATATATATATATATATATATATATATATATATATATATATATATATATACATATATATATACATATACATATATATATATATATATATATATATATATATATATATATATATATATATATATATATATATATATATATATATATATATATATACATATATATATATATATATATACATATATATATATATATACATATATATATATATATACATTAGTTTATATATATATACATTAGTTTATATATATATATATACATTAGTTTATTTATATATATACATTATAGTTTATATATATATATATATATATATATATATATATATATATATACATATATATATATATATACACATTAGTTTATATATATATACATTAGTTTTTTTTTGTTTTTTTTTTTGTTTTTTTTTTGTAGGGAGATAATGTAGTCTCTGATGGCGATTATAAAGGAATGCGTAAGGTTGAACTTAAACCTGGTACCGCTTTCAAGTTTAGAGTTGCTGGAATAAATGTTTGTGGAAGAGGTGCATATAGCGATATAGCAGCATTTAAAACTTGTGTTCCAGGTTTGTGCATTTTACTACGAAATCGCTTCTTTTATTTAAAGTTTTGTTTTGAACTATTTGTTTATAATTTACTGTAATAGATTATGAAATAGAAGAATATTTTTAGGTTTTCCTGGAGCACCGTGTGCGATCAAAATTACTAAGGTAGTTAAGTTTTTTTTTAAACAGATACTTTATAAATGAACTTTTTCTTAGTATATTGATTTTTCAAGCAAAAATGTATTGCTGCATAATTTAAATTAATTTCTTAAATAAAATTATAAGATTTATTAACTGTAGAATGAAATTGGAGCTCATTTGTCATGGGAACCTCCAACAAATAGTGCTGGTAAAATTCTTGAGTATGCAGTGTACTTAGCTGTTGATAATAAAAAAGGGGGTAAAGAAGCCACTCAAACACAATTAACATTTGTGCGTGTTTATTGTGGATCAATTTCTTCGTGTACTGTGACAGCAGATACTCTTAAAAATGCGCATGTCGACTTTTCTACTAAGCCTGCAATTATATTTAGAATTGCTGCTAAAAATGAGAAAGGGTAATTTAAATTAAGGAGTTCTAAACTATTAGATTTCATTATAAACTTTTAATAAGTTCTAATATTTTATCTCTTTTTTAGGTACGGTCCTGCTACACAGGTTAGATGGCTACAAGGTGAGCTTTTGATTTTAAAACTGCCATTTTTAAAAATTTTACTGTTTTGTATCTATTATTAATGTATAGGTATTAATACTATTTTTTATTTTATTTATTGTTCTTAGATCTAAAGGATTTACCTGATAATAAACTAAAACGACAAGGTGATCAAAGGTAAAAGTTGTATATGAGTGTGTTTAAAATTATAACAAATCCCTTTGTATTATTGGTTTTACGGTTAGTTTTTTTTTTTTTTTTTAATAGAATTGATGCTGCAAAGAAGGCAAAGGTGACGTGATATTTAGATACGCAGATACATATTTGTAGATAGATGCCAGAGATTTATTTATTCAATGTAAATATATATAATGAACTATAGTTAGAAAATTATACTGCGTGACAACAGGATAGCTGTAATAAATAATTTTGTTAAATTAGGCTTGATAACTAACCATTTTTTATTCCCGAGTTATGTTAATCATATATATATATAAATATTTTAAAATGTTGATTTATTTCGTGAAAAAAGTTTAAAGTAGGGATGCATTGGTATCAGCTAGCCGATTCATTAACCATTTAGCCGCTCCATTGACCATTTAGCTGATGCCAATGGTTTTGAGAACTTTTTTTTTACCTTTGTGTTCTATTTTGTTTACAAACTTAGTAATAATTTAAATGCTAATCCCTAGATTATTTTTATTTAGTAAATTACATTTTTATTGTTTCTGAAATAATTTAGCTCAAAAATTACATTAGAAATACTTGACCATCCAACGCATATAGGGTATAAATTTCTTTATGGGGACTATGCATCCATTGTCGACTTGTACTCATCGCCATCGTTGAGTACACCCTTTGTTTAAAAACACTGTTCATAATTTAATAAAATGTAAATTTTGTTGAATAATATTGATTTACAAGTATATGATACCAAAATTCGTATACCTAGCATAGTGAGTTGTACCGTACTATTAGCTAATAAAATAAAAGTAAGGTTTCTCAAACGGGATCTCGAAGTTTTTTTAACAAGTATTACTTTTTTTTTTAATTTAAGAAAATACAATTTCGTTTTTCTCGTTATAAATTAAGAGCAAAAAAATTATTTTTTATTTTAAACAACTAAACCTGTAAATTTTGTTTGGCTTTCATGATTGAAAAAGTAAATCTTTCGTATTACTAAAAACCTAAATATTTTCTGTATTGAAAGAGTTGTAACCAAGGACGTATAAACTTATACTGTTAGGGGCCATCCGTAAAGGACGTAATCATTGGATAAGCTCGGCACCGAGCTCGAAAAGAGAGGCCACTATCTTAGCAGAAGTACTTTATCTACTTGATTGATGCCAAAACGGAGTAAATTGTTTGAAGGAAAGAGACACGTCCACACAATTCCAATCAAGTTAACGAGAGACTAAAACAATCTTCATTCAAGTCAAGTTTGCTCATTTTTAGGCTCCAAGGATGTGTGCTTTATAAGTCAAGACGATACAGCTCGGACCCCAATTTGAGTCACCGTTGCTAACAAACAAGCTTTTATATCAATGCATATGAATTATCGAGTTTCTCTTCCTCATCATGATTGGGTCATTGCCGCAAAAAAACAAGCTCATCCCGTCTTTCTACACAGGCATTGAAATCAAGTCAGATGGGCTTAAAAAATCGATTCGATTTCAAATTTTCGATTTCGGTCCCGCTTATGTTGCTGTTCGATCTGAAAAGCATTCATAATTGAAAGCGTAGGCTCACTGACTGGACTTTAAATGATTTTTGAATTTGTCAGAGTTAGATTCCATAACAAAAGATCCTTTGACCAAGTTAATCAAGCGTGTTTGTCTTCAGTGTTGATTTAGCGGGATTGATTCTCCCTCATGATTATTATGAAACTTATCTAGACTCTCAAGTAATTCAAATTCATTTTTAATATCAACTCTTCATCAAAATACAATATATATGTATATATATGTATATATATATATATATATATATATATATATATATATATATATATATATATATATATATATATACATATATATATATATATATATATATATATATATATATATATATATATATATATATATATATATATATATATATATATATATATATATATATATATATATATATATATACAGCAAGACTTGAGTAAATAATTATTTGCATTGCAACTTATATATTCAAGGTAGGACAGTGGATCTTCTTTTGGAGAAACAAAACTTTGATTTTGCTCGAAAGACCTGTGCTTCAATCTTTTTAAGTCGGATAGTTGATCAGTTTTTAACGGTGGTTAAGTATATCAATCCAGACGGCAAGACGGAACTCGGTGCTCTTCATCTCTTATAGAAGGATCAAGAATGGTTTGCCTCTAGCCAATATTTTACGCAAATTGTGAAGTATAAGGATTTTGGATGCTGTTCTTTGCCTCCACCTATTCCAATCTGCCATTCAGAAGATGGTTTGAAAGCTGTAGTCGTTTTAGACGTCGCCAGCAAGAATCGCTTTCCTTCTATATTTTTTCTTATTGCCAAATATTCAGAGTATCATTCCTCAATCATTAAAATTATTCAAATTTCCTCCTTACAATCTGTTTTGTCACTCTGTTCAATTAAGTTTTTCTCAAAGTACCTGTAAGCATTGTAATTTGTACTTTGCCTCCCAAGTCATGTTAAAAAAGCATGTCAGCATTACTCATTTCAATTTTATTAACCAAATGGCTATTATCCTTTCGCAAATTAGACCTGTTCGAATTGCCGTCAAACGCAAAAGAGAGTTTTTAATCGTGGTACAAGAGAACGCGGCTTTTTCTGAATGGTTTGATGAGGATGAAATCAAAATGGAGGGTCTTAATATTTCGAATGATACGACTATTTCAGACAAATCAGACCGCTCTATTCCAATCATATCAATTGCCATTGTTTAAAAAATCCTTGGATGAACGAAAAGTGAGGCAAGTTCCTTAACACACTTTGATTACATTTAATATATAGAATAAGAGTAATTTAGTGTAATTTTTTTTTCAGAAAGACCTACAAGAACAAACAACTGAAACAAACATGGAAGTACCCGATAAGCTTTCTTTGTTTGAATTCTGTGTTTGAATGATATTCAAACACATAAAAATGTAATTCATGTAAAAAATTTCAATAGAAATGCCTAAATTATAAACAGATTTTGTTTTTTAAAAAAAGAGAGAGAGAGGAGAAGGGTCCCAATTTTATGACATCCTTTTTAAATGGGTATAGGAAAAAAGACAACCTGTGGCAATTGGGTGAGATGGGTCATAAAGGTATCTAAAAAATGGTCACGTCCTTTAAGGACGGTCTTTTAGGAATGACTTTTGACTTTGTATTTGTTGTTGTTGTTATTAATATGTCATTTAAATAATAAGTGGATTAAAAGCAAAAGTGATATTTAAAAAAAAAAAAATCTGGAGAATCTGCCACTTGTAAAAGTTTATAAGAATAATGTGCAAACGTTATTTTTTATTTAATTCCCTTCCCTCATCATTTAAAAAGCGCGCACAAAAAGTTGGATTTAGATGAAAAGCGTCCACATGAAGACACATAATTGGAAGTGCGCCAAAAAATGGTTAAAACGTGTATTAAAAGCTATTATTGACATTATTGAAAACTTGAAGAGATTCTCAAAAAATATGCAGTAATAAACGCAGTTTCGTTACAACTAATAAAGTTTGGAAAAAAAATCGCTTGGTAAAAATTTTTTTTTTTTTAATGCAGAAGTTATATTGGCATTTATCTTTGGCAATTTGGCAAAAAAAAAAAAAAAGCACCAGAGAATTGAAGAACCCAGAAACATCAGTTTAATTGACTTGTTAAACTTTTAAATAACCCATTCATTTACAATTACGAATCAAATATTAATTCAAAATTAAAATTACCCTCCAAGTATGGGTAAAAGATTACTACAACTATAGAGTAGTCCAAGTTTATCTATACAACTTTATTCAAGACTATCTGTATTTTTATACTCCAACAACATCTATTTCATATCTTTTTTTTTTTTTTTTTTTTTTTTTTTTTTTTTTTTTGTATTGCCGTTTCATAAATTTACAATAAAGACATATTACATTTATAAAAATTGACCGGAGCAAGAAGAAGACAATGACTGTCTTATCACCGAGCCCCGTTTACAAATTGTCCGTGTTTATAAACAAATATGAATAAAATATACAAAAAAACGTTAAAGAGTACATAACTTTTGTCAAATAATAAAATGACAATTATATCAAAAATTTAAAAATATAGAAAGTTTTGTATACTAATACAAATATATTTGATACATATAGCAAATATATTTAGTCCTAATGGAAGCGTTTTTTCTATTTTAAAATTACCTTTTAAAAAAAATATTTAAAGTCTATTGAATTAAAATCTAATTGAAGTAAGATTCTTTTAGAAACTGTTTTAAATTTTTCTAAAGAGTAGTGTTCTTTATCAAAGTTTTTAATAAAATTTTCCATAAAAAAGGTCCTCGATATTGAACTCGATAAGAACTTATCTTTAAATTAATTCTCGGAACAATAAAGTTATCCTCTGAAAACTTTGTTGGATACTTATGAAATATTTCGCTAAAATAAGATTGAAATATAAGTGGAGATATTCCATGTTTCATTTTAAACATGAAAAGTAATGTTTGGTAAATGTTTAGTTTATAAATGTTTAAGGCCTTGAGACGATTTAATAGCGGTTCGCAATAAACAGTTCTGTTTGCCCCAAATACAATCTTACAAGCATGCTTTTGTTTACTATAAAGTTTTTTGAGTTTTCCGTAATTCGTACTTCCCCATGCAATGTCCAGTAAGAAAGATAGCTGTGAATAAATGAAAAATAAATTTTCATTAGAGCTTTTGTGTTTAAAAATGGTTTTGTTTTATAAAGTACAGAAATATTATAAGAGATTTTACTTTTAATAGATCGGATGTGAAACTTCCATGACAAAGTTTCATCAAGAATTGTGCCTAAAAAGTTAACAGTAGATTCCCTTTTTACATTTGTTTTATTGAATAAAAGATTTGGAAGTTTTAGTGGAATATTATCAACTTTATTTGGTTTGTGGAACAGGATGAATTTAGTTTTATCTACATTTAGTGAAAGGCAGTTACTTATAAACCATTCATTTACTTTAGATGATTCTTCATTAAAAATTTTAAAAAGAATTTTTATATCTCTGTGTGAATAAAACAGATAGGAGTCGTCAGCAAACAATATAAGATATAGTTTTTTAGATGCTAAAAATAAGTCATTTATATACACTAGTAACAATAATGGTCCTAAGATAGATCCTTGAGGATCCCCGCAACTTATAAGTTTTTTTTTGGTTTCATTTGCTTCATAGGTTATGCATTGTTTTCTGTTAGTCAAGTAGTTTTTAAGCCAAAGTAAGTTTAAGTTGTTTACTCCATAAAGTTTTATTTTTTTATAAGG